GCTCTGCAGGCATCAGGGATTAAATAAATTCACTAAATTCAAAGTGGTACTGCAGATAAGAGCTCTTTGTGCTGCAGCATGTACAGCTTATTGATTCTGGGATTGAGGTGCTGTGCACTCTTGTAAAGGGGGCTCTGCCTGATATGGCTTAATCCTGCCCCAGCGCAGAGCCCCGCGCCGCGCGTGGAGCCCGCTCCCCTCTCCACATTTATCTTAATTTGGTCTGCGCCTTCGTTTGCTGCACCACATCTGTGCCTCTCCCCCAGCACTGCCTGAGGGACACTTCAGGGGCTCTTCAGGAGGTGCTGAGCCAGCAGGATGGGGCTGTGCAGGAAAGGGGCCGTGGGCATCTTCCATAGGGATGGAATGCCCAGCACTTCCCTTCTCCAGAGGGTTTTGGGGCACTGCGGGTCTCGGGATCTCCTCTGGTCAAGATGGCCCCAAGATGTATTAAAAGTCTCTTTTCTCCAACCTAGCTGTCGAAGAAGGAGTCAGAAGTTTTCAGCTCGTGTTCTCAGGGTTGTTTATTATTTCTTATCTAAAACATTTTTTGTCTGGCCTGCTGAGGTCTGTTCTGCAGGTCAGTCTGAGGCACACTGCCCTCCCACGGGGCTGGCGTTGTGTTGTATAAACTATGTATTCAATATTTACAATTGTGTTCCGATATCTATTACCTATGTTAGACAGTGACTTTCTACTTTACACCAATCCCAAAGTGCCACCATCACCAAGAAGATGGAGGCTAGGAAGAAGAAGGAAGAAGAGCAGGACAATGCCCAAATTCCTCCATCTTGCCTCCTAGAGCCCCATAGTAAAAAATCTTCAAAATTCCACCTTTCACCCGGTGACAACGACTATTATGCTACTTAAACTTTTGTGACTTGTAATTCTTATACAAGGTTAGTAATTTGCTCCATGGGTTAAGATTGAATTTCCAAGTGTCTTTGGCTTCCTGCCAGGGTCTCCGAGCCCGTGCCAGGATTTTGAGCCATCCAGGGCACCCAGAGGGATGTCCTGGGTTCCGTCATGCAGGGATAAGGGGTCTTTAGGGGAGCAGCTCCAGTGGGGATGCTGGTTCTGCTCACTCACATTTTGTTACAGGAGCCACCAAGGAATGTGTCTGACCAAGGTCAAAACATGACCTGAACAGATAAGATGAATTTTTCTGGACAAAAAAAGAAAAGGTGGAAAGGTTTGTAATAAATCCCAGAGGGGCTGTTGCACACCCAGCTGGAATGAAGCTGGGAAAGTTCCAGTTTACCTGTTTTCCACAGCAGAGGATGTTCTCACCCCCTTGCTCTGAACTGTCAAAGTCACTTCCCACTAACACAGAAGGACATTTAATCCCTGCTTTGGAAGCTCACCTGGTGCTCAGCTCAGGTGTCCTCCACAGGCTGCTCTGAAGGCCCAGCAGATCTCTCCAAACACAGAATTTCATGATCTCCCAAGGAAGAGAAAGACCTCCAGGCCTCTGGAGGTGTGAGGGAGCAGCTGGCAGGGCAGTGATGCTCTCGGCGTGTGCTGCTCCCCTGGGCCATCCCTCCTTGGCTGAGGTGGAGCAGCACCAGCACCTTCCCAGCCTCGGGGCATCCTTGGGTGCTGGCTTCCAGAATCACACCAAAAAGAGCTGATCTGACCAAGGGGAAAGGCTTTCATTATTAATTGTTGTCTCTTAGGTACGAGGGAAGAGCTCCACGGCATGAAAGAAGTTGCCACAGGGACTTTTGGGTGACCTCCCCAAATCCCTGTATTTCCCTGAGGTTTGGCAAATCTCCCAATATCTTTCACAAAATCAAGCTCTTAATCTCAAGACACCTCTCCTACGTAAGGCTGCCTCCTGAGCTCCATCCACAGGGCCCGTGTTTCAACACCCAGGATTCATTAATATTTCCTGCAGAGTGCTCAGTAAGTAGCAAATAAAGCAGGAAGTGTCCCAGATGTTGGAAAGAAAAAATGGAATTATTCATTGCTTACTAACATCAAATGCTAATGTGAGAAAAGCATCCTTGAAGAAATCCTTGACTAAAATTCATCAGAGTGATGTGAAATCACTGTTTTAATTATGCATTTTGAATGTATTTATTAGTCCCGGTTCTGATCTGACTTACAGATGTTTAGCAGTGATAAGGGTCTGCTGCAGCCTTCGGAATTACTCATGATTTATAATGACAAAACTTGGATCAGAATTAGGTCCTTGTCACTACTCTATAATATCCTTTCATCAAACTTCACATTCAACAGATGAAAGCGAATGTGGTTTCTGCAATTTCCAACTCCACCACTGAGCCCATGAGTTCCTTTTTTTAAAATTTCTCCTACAGAAGTGATGACTCTCACTGCAAATTTTGTCTGCTTGAGTTATACTAGCCATGAGAAACTTGACAGCAAAGGAATTGGAGTCTTTAAAATGATGTATTTGGCCTTGTGCTGGCAATAAACATGGAATTTTAACGAAAGAGTTAATTGCATTAATTATGCAACTCTACAATCTCATTCTTTCTTGTTGTTGTAACTATTAGATATATACCTAATATTGAGAGATTTTTCCAAATCTGTGGAAAATCCAGGGATTTGATGAGGTTACCCAAAAGCTCAATCCCAGACAAGAATTGGATGTGCTCAATACCAGACAATTAAAATAAAACACCCTCTGTTCAAGAATGATTCAAAGCCATGTGGTTTATTTCCAAAAAATGATGGAATTTTAAACTATTGCTTGTTCTAGAGCTGATCCAGAAAGAGCAAGTCTCCAGGGATGCTTTACTCCCTACGGCATGAATGCATGATTAAGCTAAATGTATTCCATAAATGCCTTGATGACATTAAACTAAATTTTTTAAAGAACAGATGGAGAGAGTTAATAAATATTTCATTCTATAATATAAAACTCACTTCTATATTCACAACTTCAGGGATCCTCAGCTTCACAGATATCAATAAGTCTGATGGATTTCTTGCTGCATTCTCATTCTTCTGCCCTGGTGTCTCTTATGGGATCATCATTTCTGCATGCTTGGATTGTTTTATGGGATCAGTGAAAGGCAAGTGACTGTAAATCTTGACCTCTTCTGCTCCTGGATTGTATACTTTTATTCTTTGTGACCATAAGTGTTCATCTCCACATTGAATAGATAATTAAATGACAAAAATTATTCAAAGGGAATTTACAGTGAGAAATTATCCCTTGAAGAACTGGTGGGGAACTAGGCATAACCCAAAGAGGAAAAAAAAACATTTAGAATGGCCAAATAAAACACTAAAATCTCTGTGTATTTGGGAATGTCATGAAACATCCATTCACTGGGAAAAAACCCATGATTTTTACCTGCACATCCCAATTTTATTCAAACAAAATTTCTATTAAGGGAAAACAGTGTGGATATTGCTTAAGAAGTGTAGCCCAAGCCTGTTATTCATATGAAAGAACTAATCTTTACATGGGGGAATTACAATTCCTCACTCTGTGTATGCCATGAATCTTGTAAAAGAATAATTAGAACTTGCTCCGAAAGGAAAGAAACGCCAGACTTGAATAATATTTTAGGAAGAGCATTAACAAACATTTTTACACTGCCAACAATCTTCAGCGCTTCCTAGCAGAGATTTACATTCCATTATTAATTAACTGCACTGAGTCAATAGTGTGACATAAAGCTCGGGAGATGTGAGTTGAGCACAAACTCTGACATCCACGAGAACGGCGCGTTTTGAGAAGTTTGATTTAAAATTTATGCAAATGAGCTCAGCAAACAAGGACCCAACAAACTACTTCAAAGCACCACGCTCCAGCCCGAAAAACACGACAAGATCAAATCTTTGTCATTTCTCAAGTGTCTTTACAAACCTCTGCATATTCAGGACAAATTATTTCACCCCCAGTAGCCGGATAGTTTGGTGGAGGATTAGGAGGTGATTGCTCTTTGCAGGGTCACTGCCACATCAGCCTGAGCGACTGCAAGAATTTAAATGTATTTGAATGTTGTATTATTTGTCATTTTAGATCTGACTCTTGTGAGGTGTCCACAGAATACAACAAGGTCCCAGCTGAGCTGCCTGATAGGGCTGACCAAAACAAAGCCAAAAACAAATAGCAGCGCTATTGTCCCCACTCCCGTTCCTCCAGCTCCCACTATCATTCAGTGTTTGTGTTGAGAAACTTCCCCAAACTGTGTCCAGGGAAAATATTCAGTTCAGGGTAAGGACAAAAATTATTCAAAACAAATTTATAGTGAGAAATTGCCACTTGAAGAACTGAGGGGGCACAGGTGCAAACCAAGGTGATATCACAATATCATGCTATTGTCCTCCCTCCTTTTCCCTCAACCAGCATCACCTTTCAGTTTTTGAATTGGGAATCCCCACAAAACTGCATCCAGGGAAAATATTAAATGCAGAGCAAAGCATTGCTGTAAAGAAACACTAATTAATTCATGTTATGTTTCAAGCCACAGAAATTGGTTTATTCCCGTACTGAAAGTTAGGTTATGTTCAGGTACATTTGTATCTTCAGAATCAGGGCTTTTAAGGAAGAAAAAAGTTTCTCATGTTTCCCGACATCCCATTAAAATGGTTGTCCTTTGACGTCAATTAGAGCTGGCTAAGAAAAAAAAATCATCCTTAATTGCTTTTTAGAAATAGACATTATTGCTTGCACCATCGCAGCCAGATTCGATTTCCTTTTACAAGAAACCAGGATGCTGGGAATGCTGTAAAACTCCAGCTCTGCTGAATATGGATGTGGAGCTCTGCTGACAGAGAGCTGCTTTCCCTTGGGCTACGGGAAAAACTGGTGCAAACCCCACCAATGTGGTGAAATACCTCCAAAGTGGAAAAAGGCTGGAGCTGGATGTTCAGCTGGGGCTGGTTTGGGATGGGCAGTGCTCAGAGCCAGGCTGGGAGAGCTGGGAGGGCTCACCTGGAGAGGAGAAGGCTCCAGGGAGAGCTCAGAGCCCCTTCCAGTACCTAAAGGGGCTCCAGGAGAGCTGGAGAGGGACTGGGGACAAGGGATGGAGGGACAGGACACAAGGAATGGCTTTCCACTGCCAGAGGGCAGGGGGAGATGGGGCATTGCAAAGGAATTCCTGGCTGTGAGACTCTGGCAAAGGGTACCCAGAGAAGCTGTGGCTACCCCATGCCTGAAAGTGTCAAAGACCAGGTTGGGTGGGGCTTGGAGCAACGTGGGATAGAAGAAGGTCTCCCTATCCATGGCAGGGGGTGGAAAAGGATGGATTTTAAGGTCCCTTCCAACCCAAACCACCCTGGGATTCTGTGGATGCTCAGTGCTCCATCCCTGCCTCCCCACGAGAGTGAGTGTAACCTATCCCCACAATTACAGCTACAAAACCCATCAAGCCCTCAAAACTTGGGTGTGTTTCTTTACAAGGAGCATTGCCGATTTTCTCAAAGCCTTTCCCACGTTTGTCTTACTGCAGGGAATCCACAATGTCTCTGCCCACCAGGAAGAAGAGGAGTCCGGAGAGCAGCACCAGGGGCACCCCGGCGGCGGCGAACATGAAGGACCACCCGTAGTAGACGTGCACAGGGACATCATCCAGGCACCTCTCACTCCTCTCCAGGAGGATGTACTTCTGAAAGTCAGCTGCAAACTCCTTCCACATCACAAAGAGAAACACGAGCAGGAGAAACAAACCTCCTGGGAAGAGAGAGGAAGCTGAGTTATGGTCTGGGCAGGGAATACAGGAGTGAAGGTGAGAAAAGATCACCACAGCTTCTCATCCATGCTCTGCACCAAAGCTGTGTGTGGCACAATTGTTGCTGCTGATGCTGCTCTGCAAGTTCCTGTGGAAGCTGAGGCCACACCACAGTGACCAGTTCCTGCCCTGACATCTCCTGCTTTGACCACCAGCACTTCTGAAGGCTCTGTTTCAGCAGGATAAGGCCATGGAGAAACCACCCGAGCAGGGATGATGTTCCCAGCAGGGACCTGCCTTCCTCTCTCCAAGGTGGGATGTTTCACCTTTTTCACTTTTATTTCTCAGAGATTAATGAGGAGACACCAAAACTTACTTCTTCCTTTTTTTTATCTACCCTTGCAAGCAGTGTCACAGCCAATGCCCACCAGGAACACAAAGATGCCATGATAAATCCTGGGGCTGGTGGAAAAATTCTGGCACTGCCACCCCCAGAGCCAGCAGAGCCTGCAGGCTCTGAAAGTGTTTATGCACATTATGGGGTGGGAAGGGCACACAGCCACGAGATGTTAATCTTAGATGGGCTACTAAATACCAGAATAATAACAAGAATTATTCCAGCAGCTTATGCCATGAAGCTGGAAGCAGATGAAAAAAATTAGAGTGGCCCAAATCTCATTAACTCTGAATCTTTAAAAAAATATATATATTTCTATGGTGCATTTTAAACTCAACATCTATTAAAGCTAAATAGTGACGGTGTGATGACAGGTCTGAAAGCAGCTCAGAAATATCTGATCTTGCTACTTCACAGGTAGAAGCTGCTATTTTTAAATGGTGCTGTATAACATATAGATATACACACACACATATGAAAGAAATACATCATAGCTTATATTATTTTTATGGTTGAAGTGAACTGCTCGAAATTAATTTAGTTGACAAGTTACCACACAGTTCTGTGGATGTGTTGTGGCTTCTGCAAGATTTAATTTCTCCCCTTGCCATTTTTAAATCAAAGGTAGTTGTGGTGTATTTAATTATTCTTCCTGGCAGCTTATATACTCCAAAATCCAGCTTTTGAGCTAAGGAAAGGAGTAAAGATTGACGTTGATTTATCTGCTTAGGGAAGTTACTGAATCTTCAGTCAGAGAAAACACATCTGTGTTTTACTGTGATTCTGTTTATAATGGTTATAAAAACATCTCAGAGACACAAATAAGACTCACATGAAGGTAAGAGGCTTCAAAGTCCTCACTAGGAGGGAGATAGAAGTTGCAGTTCCCCACCCTAAGCTGTCACATTTCCTAAACTGCCTCCCGTGCCCTAAAAAGATGCAATCTTACCAATCAAAAATTGGTGTAGCCACACAAATGTTCTTTACATCACCCCACACTGAAATTCCAGCCATTCTCCCTGATGTGGAGGAGTCCTTGTTTTTCCTGGAGAGGCAGGCAAGGAGTTAAACAGCAGCTGCTGGAACATTTGCATGTTCATTGAGGTTTTGATACCACTTGAAATTAAGTGCACAAATAAATATTTTACACTTACTATGATAGTTGTATGCTTAAAATACCAATTATTCTACTATAAGAAAGCGATGGTGTGTTCAAATAGTCGCATGTCCTTTACAAAATACAATGTATTGATAAGAAGGCAATTAAGTCTTTATTACTGATGTAATTTAAAATTAAATTAATTAGATAGCAACTGAACCTTGAAAAGTGCTCCTTTAAAGATCAATTTCTATTTCATTAACTTATAATACCTACCGTAAGAGACGCAAATGAAAGCGCAGCCCCGGTGGGACAGAGAACGTGGGTATGGAAATGTACTTTGGAATTTTGCTTTAAATAACCAGGAATTCTGTGCTGATTTCTCCCAGGACAATTTATATGGCCTAAGTCTCGTTTTTTGAAGTAATCAGATCAAAACCTTCCAGTTCTTACTGAGGAGGGTGTGGGAAGTCCCACGTGTGGGTGGCACCATCCCCAACCCCTTCAGGAGACAAGGAATGGGGATTGGTCCCTCCTCTGGCCTCAGGAGAAGCTCCAGGTCTTGGCACAGAAGGATTTATTATTAAACAGGTACTGGAGGTGATGGCATGGCCATGGCATCTAAATTAAGAATGTTTTCACACTCTGGGCAAATGACAAGAATATGTAAAGCAAGCAGCCTTCTTCCCTGGAATAATTACAGCGGAGTGATGAAGAATCCCTGGGATTTGCACAATGTCCTCAGTGGGAAGAGAAAATCAGGAGGGCAGGTGCAGCCAAAGGATGGTGGGAGCTCAGGAAGGGCAGCTCACCAAAATCTGCTCAGCCAGAAATGCATGTTTGGAGCAATCACAAGTGTACCTGAACCTGCCTAAAATTTGTCGCACTTACAGCCATCAGCATCCTCTTCATCATGAGAAGATCACAATGTTTCACCCCTATATTACCAAAGTGTTTGGCATTTTTGTTTAAAAATGCTGTTGTATTTGGGATTTTTCATCTGTTGAACAGGTTTCACTTTGCTCCCTCCTTTCTGGGGCTTTTAGTGTGGGACAGAGCAGAAATTGTCTTTGTTTCCTGACAGCTTTGGATGTAGAGAGACAGATTCCTTCCTGCTTTGGGCAGCGAAATGAAAAACTGAAAAAATCTAATTTTCTGTCTGAAATAGGACACTGGCATTGGCACCCACACCCAAGACAGAGGGTGTGTATTGGGTTTGGGTAAGTGAAGACCTCATCAAACCTCATCCCATGCTCCTCTCAGCATCCCTGTGCTTTCTCCACTGGAAAATTACCCGAGTGATCCCTTTCCTTTCCTTCTTGTCCCTCTTTGCCTCTGTTCATTAGGATGGTACTGGGAAAAATTAACTGCGAAACTCCATCTCCAGACTGATGAGGTCAATGGCATCTTCTGGGGAGGGGCTAATTGCCAGAAAATTGCAGTGGGGTATTAAATCTGCCTCCTTTGTGCACTGCAGATCTGGGAGCCTGGAGCTCCATCCCCCTCTCCCAATGGAGCTGCGTCTTCTGTGTGGGCAAATTGAAGTGGAGCTTTTCCTTTCTCTCACTTTATTTCCTTGTGACACCTTTATAGCTGCTAATTGTGGGGACAGGTGAGTGAACTCAATCTTTAACTCTTATTCTGGGGAAGCTACTGAATTTTTGTGTAATCTGCTAATTAGGAGAATAATGAACTTTGACTCGTTCTCCTCTCTCGCTCGTTGCCTCTTAAGGATGTTAATAACAGCGAAATGGAGGGGTGACCTTCAGCTGCCCCTCCATAACTGTCAGCTTCACTGCACGTGGGGAGCCTGAGACTGCCAAAGTGGAGCTGCTCCATTTGGGAAACAGGATCTGAGCAAAAAATCCAGCATTTTAACTCACAGGACTGGGAAATCTGCCTTTTATCCCATGCTGTTGGTTCATGCTGAAGAACAGGTTGGTCCTACCATGGGCAGGAATGTGTCCCATCATCCCAGGTGGCTCCAAGCTCCATCCAACCTGGCCTGGAACACTTCCAGGGATGGGGCATTCACAGCCTCTTTGGGCAACCCATGCCTGTGCTGCAGTTCTACGTTTGGTCTCTAAAATGCCCAAAGGGAAAGAAAACCGAGGGGCACAAGGTAGGAAGAAAGGAAGGACCACAAGCAAAATTGCCTCAGCAACTCAAAGAGTTTCCAGAAGCTGCAGCACAGAGCTCACCCAGCCCTCTTGGTGACATTCTAGTAAAAGAAAACCAAGAGGCACAAGGTAAGGTAGGAAAATAGGAAGGACCAAAATGAAGCAAAGTTGTCTCAGCAATTCAAAGAGCTTCCAGAAGCTGCAGCACAGAGCTCACCCAGCCCTCTTGGTGACATTCTAGTGACACCAACCTCTGACTACTGAAACAAAGGGACAATCAGGCACCAGGCAGGATCTGCCACCCTTTAGAAGCTCATTCCAAGATGGCAAATGCTGGGAGGAAAGCAGCACACTGGCTCTTGCCTCATGTATTCCAGGTGCTTTTGGGAGAATGCTGGCAGGGAAAACTCCTCAGAAAATGGCCTCAGCTGCAAAGGCAGCACCAGCAAATGTCAGATTGGCTTTGGCTCTTTCCAGAGTCACCCAATGGAGGAAATCCAGAGAAATGGCTCCACTGCTTCGGAAGGGCTCTCAGAAACACCTCCCAGAGCAGCCCATTGGTTTTTGGAGCTGGCACAGTCAGATTTGCCCTCTGGAATGTACAGTAAATAAAAGGCATCTCAGGGGGAATCCAAAGGGATCCAGTTGAGCCAGAACAACCCTCACCCTTCAGCCCTGGATTCCCCCAGCGACAGATGGACACACAACCCTCCTCAGGCTGGTCATCCATAAATGTCTGGGAATGCATTTGCACCAGGGGTGTCTTTAGAGCCTTTTGGTGGAAAAAGTGACGTCATTTTGCAGTGAATAACCACAGCTTCTCCCAAAAGCAGGGAGGTGGTGGGCAGCACAAAGCTGCTGGTGAAGGGCTCCCTGCGAGGCCGGGACATCCCGCAGTCCTGGTGCTCCATCTCCCATTCCTGCTGCCAGACCACATTCCCACTCTGCAGATTGCCAGCTTTTTCACACTTCCTCAAGGAGAGATCCTTTCTGCAAGGGAGGTTAATTAACACTGACCTGCAGGCCATGATTAGAAGACAAGAGGCGCTTTCTCCTGCATCCTCCCTGCTCATCCCGCTTTCCTAAGGAAAGGGATGGCTGGGGACTCCAGCCTGTGTTAAATCCATTGTTCCTACTGCTTAGTGCAATTATGCAAAATATTTTTAGAAGGGATAACGAGAAAATAACCATGGAAGGATGCAACCCAAATCCATCCAAGCAGGATCCAGAGGTCTGAGATCAGGATAAGCCCCCCAAAGAAAATGATCAGTTGAAACACTAAAAAAACTTTGCTGAAAAACACATTGAATCCTTCTGCTATCATTTGAGTGGAAAATATAGCAGGAAGTGTCTTCCAGCTGAACTCGTTCCCCCGAATGACTGTTAATAACAATGATTGCTGTTCAGATTGAAGCTGCATTAATACAAACTTCAATTTTAACAGCAGCATCTTTGTCTAATGCCAAGAGGTTTATGTGATGCATAATCAGCTCTTCCAAAAAGTGTCACATTCGAAGCCCCAGCCTTTTAATCAAGGAGTAGTCAAATAAAGTGGAAAAACAATGAAGAAAAAGAAAAAAAAGAAAAAGAAATGGAAGACAGTTGAGTATTACTCGGCATCCTTTTCTGTGATATTTGTGCCCAATGTGCAGGCTGGACACACTCCTCAGGGACATCTGCTGCCTCCTGGGAGCCTGGACTACAGATGGGAAGGGAAAGCTTCCTGCCTGGGTACAGCCCTTGGATTACTGTCCATTATGGGATCAAAACAACCCCATGGAAAACTACAGGCTTGTTTATAGAAAAGGCCCAGGGGGGGCTGGTGCCAGCAGCTGGACATGAGCCCAGGGGTTCCCAGGTGGGCAAGAGGCCAGAGGCACCTGGCTTGGGTCAGGAATGGTGTCCAGGGGATCAGGGCAGTGCTGTCCCCTGTGCTGGCACTGCTGGGGCACCTCCAGTGCTGGGGGCAGCTCGGGGACCCTCACGACCAGAGGGACATTGAGGGGCTGCAGTGAGGCCAGGGAAGGGAACGGAGCCCCAGGAGGGGCTGAGGGAGCTGGGAAGGGGCTCAGGGGGGACCTTGTGGCTCTGCACAGCTCCTGACAGGACGTTGGGCTCTGCTCCCGGGAACAGGGACAGGAGAGGGAACAGGAATTTCTTCATGGAAAGCCTTGTCCATCTCTGTCACAAGCTGCCCAGGGCAGCGGTAGAATGACGATCCTTGGAGGAATTTAAAAGTTGTGTAGATGTGGCAGCTGGGGACATGGGTCAATATCAGAGCCTTTCTTGTTAAATATTTTCACTGATGTTTATTATGAGGCAGCAGGAGCTGGTGAAGGATCTGCAATTAAGCAGGGGTTTTTCAGAGAAAGACCTGATTTCATTACCAAGTTCTTCACTTGGCGCAGCTCAACTGAGCTCCAGCCTGTGGCTGCTTGAGTCATAAAAGAGCTTTTTTCTGAGTTTGAGTCACTGGTATAAATCAAGTATTTCTAATATTGAAGCCAGTTATTCCTCTCAGATACAGAAAAGGAAAAAGCCCAAGTGATAATTCAGTGGAATCGTTGGTAACAGCAGTGGGAAAAATGAATAAATGCCTATTTTTAATTCATTTTCCTGCAGTGCCATCGTTTCATCTTTTCAGGTCTCCTTAAGCCAGCCCTCCCATTTTGGATCATGGGGTTTGCCTTTCATCCCTCTGTGGGTTTCCAGCTCTATCAAAGCTAACAGCAGAGGAGCAGCCCAAATGCAAAGCCTGACTTTGGGGAACTGAGCAGGGCTGATGCTGCCCAGACTTAACACACCTGCAGGCTTTACTGAAATAAAAGGGTTGCATACAGGAGCAGTAAAAACAAAGTGATTTTCAAAAACCTCAGCCCTGCTAGGACTAAGGACTATTGTGCTAAAGCCTGGCTGAGCACAGAATGATGGAATCACAGAATGGTTTGGGGTGGAAGAGGACCATAAAGGGCACAGACAGGGACACCTTCCACTGGACCATGTTGCTCAGAGCTCCCAGGGGTTAAATTCCAGTGGGGAAGAGGGAAATAATCATTTGCTGCTCCCCTCAGAGCCCCATCTCCCACGGCAGCACTTCATCCCCACCTGCCCCCATTCCAAAGCCACCCTGGCCCAGCCCTGTCCCCTCACCTGAGAGCAGCAGGAATCCTCCCCCAACTTTGTAGGAGTGGGGGCTGGAGAAGGGGACCCCACACACCAGCAGGAGCCCCCCCACGAGCCCGGCAGCCACGGCCAGCAGGATGAACGCCGTCCAAAATCCTCTGTACACTGCAACAGGAACACAGCCAGTGAAAGGAGGGGGAAAGAGGGACATTTCAACCTCAGAAATCCTTTTTCTTAATGATGCCATGTTTAACTCCTGCTTTAGCAACAGTAAAAAACAACAACCTGTGATGCTGCTGGGTCAGGCAGAGCTGAGGCCCCGGCTTTGCCAGGGCACCTGGAACAGCCACGGGCTCAGGGGGAATGTCATGCCCTACAGAATGGCACTGGAATGAGGCCAAAGGGTTGGGAAGATTTGCCAGGGAAGCACACAAAAAAAGAGGGTGGGAGGAAAGGACACCGCTCTTAGCTGTGCTGGGGGAGGTTGGAAAACCTTGGCAAGAAAGGAAAGAAAATAGCAAAATTTGGAGAGGTGGATTCAGACCACAGCTTTGTTCCACTTTAATTAACACTTCGGGAAGGTGCCAGGCTCCTGGTTTAAAATAAAAGCAGTGTTTGCTAGCAGGACTGCGGGGAAAACAGGAGCTCAAGAGTTCCCCCATTAATGACTCTGGGAAAGAGAATGGGGCAGGAGAGAAGCTGCCTGTCCATCCAAGGAATTTGGGTTTGGCTGTGACTTCATACAGCCACCCCAGGCAGAGCTGAGCAAGCTTGGTCCATCACATCCCACCAGATGGAACAGGATGGGATGTAGCTCACTAATTCAAGCCTCCCAGTAGCCAAGTGTCTTGCACACACTGCCATAAACCTTATGCAAAGGTATCAGGGTCCTCCAGCAGAGACCCTGTGACACCCTGCTCCCCATCCCCTGATTTATCTGATCCCTTGGACCACCACATCTCGCCCTGCCAGGTGTTTTCCAGAAGCTCCAGCTCGATTTAAGCCGAGCACGAGCAAGTGGGTAGTGCTGAAATGATTCACACTTGAAAGAAAAATGATACAGAGAAGATGCCTTTTCCTCATTTGAAACCATTTTGTCAGGAGAGCCACTTAGGGAGAGATAAGTATCTTGAACTCTCCAAAACCAGAGAATTCATTTTCATGTTTAACCTCCCGTCACCCGTTTCTCCCAGGGAGCCTAAGAGGATGCAGATAAGGCAGAATTATCTCCGGAGCAGGTAATAGCTGGAGAACCCCTCTCCTTGGACAGCCTCCTGCTTTGTCAGCCTTTGCAAATGAGGACGGGCTGCTCAGCAAGAAAAGGTGCCAGGGACAGAAGTGGCATCCGAGGGATGGGCAGAGATTGGGGCAGGGGAGAGCCCGGGGCCCCCCAGAACCACCGGGGTGGGAAAAGAGCTCTGGGACACCGAGATGGCCCCGGGGCTGACAGGCAGGGACAGATGCTCCAGCGCCTTGGTTAGGATGGAAAAAACAGTGAGAGCGTGTCTGTCAGCAGGATCATTCCCAGCCGGGATCATTCCGAGCTGTGCACGTCTGTCCCGAGCAGGAACAATCCCGCTGCTCATCCCGCACCAGCTCCTCCTCCTCCCTGCACAGCTCCCTCCGATCCATTTGGCACCACGGAGCATTCCCCAGGGCAGGAATTCTGCGCAGCCAAAGAAATGAGCTGCCCTTCCTCACACGCTCCTACTGACAATATTTTTTTTTAATTAATTTCTCATAGAAAAAAAAATAAAATAAAACTAAAAAAAGGTACCACTAAAGGCTAAGGAAAAGGTCAAGATGTTTGTTTGTGCAGAATGTCTGCCCTGCATCCCCGGAGGCAAGGCAGACTGATGCACACTATTTAAAGAAATCAATTCATTTCAAAAAAAGATCATTCAATTAATTCTAACTGCTGCCACCAATTTAGCAAATTAAAATTCCTAACAGCAACTGATTCATTAAAGAACTTGGAAAATATAGAGAAACATAAATAAAAAGGGACCCAGTTGAAAGGAAGCTCTCCAACTGTGTAGTGTTCATTGCTTTAAAAATAAGCCAGTCACTTATGTGGATTTTCTAACAATTTGGTCTTTAACTGATTTTCCAGTGCTTGTTTATTTTGTCTTGCAACAAACCAGCACCTGAGCTATCCCAGGAAACCAATTCTGGGATGGAGTCAGCACTCAGGCTGGGTTTGGGTGGCTCCAGCTCCTCCCAAAGAGAGAGGAGATGGGGAGAATGGATTTATCCTCCTGCCTGGCTCCCCGGAGCAGGAGCAGGCAGCCCAGGAGAGAGGAGATGGGGAGAATGGATTTATCCTCCTGCCTGGCTCCCAGGAGCAGGAGCTGGGAGCCCAAGAGAGAGGAGATGGGGAGAATGGATTTATCCTCCTGCCTGGCTCCCAGGAGCAGGAGCAGGGAGCCCAGGAGAGAGGAGATGGGGAGAATGGATTTATCCTCCTGCCTGGCTCCCAGGGGCAGGAGCTGGGCCCTGTGGGAGGGAGCTCAGCCCATCCCAGCACGCCAGGCTGGAGGAGACAGCGCGGGGGAACCCCTCCAGGTGGGCTTGGGCAGCCAACCCAGCAGGAACGGTTTGTGAAGGAGCTGTCCTGAGGTCTTGGACGTGTGAATTCACAACAGGAGAACCTGACACACATCCCAGATCTCTGCCTGATCCCTTGGAAAAGGAGCTGCTGGGGGAGAAGGAAGGAAGGAAACTCACCTGCAGTTGTGTCATAGGAGGGATGGGGGAAAGGTCCCACAGCAATGGGCATGGGGAAGAGGTAGCCATGCATGCAGAACTTGGGGTGTGCTTGGCTGGCTGGAAAGACAAAGGAAAAGAAGAATTAAATCCCAGTTTGCTTTTATTTCCTGCAGAATCAGTTACAGTGCTGAGATGGTGATGTGTTGTTGTGCAAAACTTGCAAAATCCTCAGTGAAATCAGAAGGCTGGGGAGGGAAAAAATAAAACAAATATTGGTTAAAGAGAAAAATAAAAATAGAAATAATAATTATAAAAGAGGAGAGATGTCAGAGGATCTGAGACTGCTTCTTACACATCTTCTCATCTTCATAACCTGACTCTGAGGTGGACAAAAATCATGAAAGATGAAACAACTGAAGTCACTGTCAATAATCTTATTGCTGTTTTCCTCCAGACAATGTCCCTGACCACCTGGAAGGGTCAAAATATTTGGGTACCAGAACAAGGCACTTCCAAGACCTCCAGCTGGTGAGAAGGAAAAGCACAATTAGAATGGAAGTGCCCCATCAATATTAATACCACTGAGGCTTATCATGATTAACAGTAATAGAATGAATGTTAAATGAATTAATTAATGGTTGGCCACTTATTTAAATATGTTCCCCAGCTCAAAGGAGCACTTTATAATAGGTGGACATTAGTTCATGCTAAATTGACTATGGAATACCTATTGAATTAATTATTACATCCACAAGAGCAGCAAATTAATTTGCCATGATCAATCCTATTATAATAAATACCTAAAGAAGTAGCAAAAAATTTGCCAGTTATCAGAGTGACTCATTTTACTTCAGGTAAAATTATGTTATGTATTTCCATATAATGTAATTCAGCAGCAAACTCCCTGTCTCAAGCCTGTCCTTTTTTATCACAAATTTCCTGGGTGAAAAACCTCCCATTGTTGAGCGGTGGCGGGAAGTATTCCTGCAAGATTTTACAGGAAACAGGTCAGGGGCTGGGGGACAGCAAAGTCATTTGAAATTTTAATCACTGCAGGGTAGATTTAGTGTGGGAACCTGCACTATTTGCAGGGAAGTGCCCTCTGAGGTGATTGTGCTGCTCCACAGCCTCAGGAACATCTTCCATCGAGGCCTCGGTGGGCACAGGGCCAAGGTGTTTGTGGTGCTTAAAGCCTTTACAGAACTTATTTAAAGTATGGGGTGGGTTATCCCAAATCCTACTGTAGAGTTGTGGCTCCCAGCAGGGCTGGTGCCAGGTGTGTCCTGGTGTGGTCCCACTCCTTTCCTGTTCCTGGTGGGAACCTGGTTCACTGGGCCAGCCCTTCACTGCACCAGGGCACCAGGGTGGCACCAGACAGGGTCACAGAACAGGTTTTATCCTTTTCTTCAATTTGTTTTTAAAGAGTGAATGTATTTTCCAAAAAAAATAAAGAATTTAGCATCTCTCCCTGTTTATTCTCAAGTGTAATTCAATGATTTTAAAAAGTAAAAAAGGTGAGAACATAAAATAAAATGGCTTTCCACCACTGATCCTGAGCACTCAGGGACACCACGAATGTGCAGTTCCAGCCTTCCCAGTGCTGAAACCAGTGGGAGCTGGGAATGCTGAGCACCTGGAAGGCAGAAAACAGGGACAGAAGAGCGATGCTGGGAAGGGCATGGCCTCACATCTACAGAACTTTGCTGAGTGCAAACATCAAGAGGTATTGGGAGGGAGGAGGAGGAAGGATCAGCATCTCCTTGCTGGTGGAAGCCACCACTTCACATAACTTTGTAGGTGATCAATTAAATGGCCTCATGAGGTTGCAACATTTTGGTGAACAGCCCTGTGAAAGCAAAATCCAAGTCAAAAAATGTGCACAGAAAGGGCACAAAAAGAGTGAGCCAGCTTTGCTTTTGACAGAAGAATGACAAAAATGAAATAAAAACTGTCTCCTCATCCCTGGGAGCGCTTCCTGCGTTTGTTTCCCATTAAGCTGGGATGGAATGCTGAGGATAGGGAGTGGTGGCATTGTACTCACTGTACCAGAAGGTCCAGATGCTCTCGGGGTGGCCCTCACCAAAGAACCAGCACCGCCAGAAGAAACCCTCGTGGTGGAAAGTGAGGATCTCCTTCCCAGCCTCTGTTGGACTTTCAGCCTGGGGAGGAATGAAAGTTCAGGCTAAAACAGGGAACATCATGGTACAAAGAGTGGATGCTTCAGTTAGACAAATGTTGATTTAATTTTTTATGAGGTTTTCATTTGTTTTTTGTGTCAGTTTTGGAGGGATTGTGGAACACGGAGGAGCTGCTGTCCTTGACTTTCTGCTGTAAAACAGCTACGAAATGTTCTGACAACAAATTGTCCTGCAGAGCTACACAAACCATTTGCCTCCTTTTCTCCTGTTTTTAAACCCCTGCTGGCCAGAGCTGGATGAGAATTTCAGGGAGCTGGGCCTTCTGGGTGTGTTCTATTCCTCAAACATCTTCCTCCAACCCCCCGACCAGACCTGCAAGCACAAGATTTTGGTCTTTCCTGAAGGCACAATACTGCAAAGTCCAGTCATGGAAGATTTACCAAAGAACTTATTAAAATTATCCTCAAAACCAGCTTTATCTTTCCCACAGACAGTTTGGTAAAGGAGACAGGACTGTGACAAAATTAAGTTTTATGATGGATGGGGAATGTCCATAGAGGAAAGGCCTCTGTGAGCCACAGAAAGGAGATGGGACTCAACAGGGAGGTGCTAGAGGTACTTATCCTGTCACAGGTTAATTGGTTTGGGTGGAAGGGACCTTAAAAGCCCATCCAGTGCCACCCCTACCATGGGCAGGGACATCTTCCACTGTCCCAGGTTGATCCAAGTCCCATCCAGCCTGGCCTTGGGCACTGCCAGGGATCCAGGGCAGCCACAGTTGCTCTGGGCATCCTGTGCCAGGGCCTCACAGGGAAGAATTTCTCTCCAATATTTCTCTGGCAATGGAAAGCCATTGCCCCTTGTCCTGTCCCTCCATCCCTTGTCCCCAGTCCCCTCCAGCTCTCCTGGAGCCCCTGGAAGGGGCTCTGAGCTCTCCCCAGAGATCTTCTGCTTCCCTGGCCTCGGTGTTTTTATGCATCACCTTGTAGCAGCTTCCAGAGCTCTGACCTGATTCTCCTTTTACTTTCAGGATAAAACCCTGACTATGACAAGGGGAACATTCAGCCCTGAAACTTCCTCAGCTGGTGGCTCTGACTTGGTGCATCCACAGCACATTTCACTGAGCTTGCCAGCTCCAGCATTCCTGGAGCCCCTGGAAGGGGCAGAGATCTTCTGCTCCCCTGGCCTTGGTGTTTTTATGCATCACCTTGTAGCAACTTCCAGAGCTCTGACCTGATTCTCCTTTTACTTTCAGGATAAAACCCTGACTATGACAAGGGGAACATTCAGCCCTGAAACTTCCTCAGCTGGTGGCTCTGACTTGGTGCATCCACAGCACATTTCACTGAGCTTGCCAGATACTCAGCCCATCCTTATCTGTAAGGGACAGGATTTGACAGTTTAAGAAAGGGCAGAGAAGGTAAAAACAGAGCCTGTTATCCACAACCAGTAACAGAAATAGAAATAATAGAAACAGTGTCTGAAATAGAAATAAAATAGCTCAGAGGGAAGAGTAAGAGCAGTTCCTATTTCTGCCTGGTGCTTTTGAAGTCACTGCCTCAGCATCAGGCTCCCCAGTCTTGGCCAAGAGCGTCTCTGAAATGTTTGAGATGCTTATTTGTGTCATGCAGTGCATCACCTCTGCTCTCTCCACTTTTAAAAACAACTAAAATGTGAAACAATTAACACTGTCACTTCCCAAGTGCACAGAAAACAAGCGGCACTTCTCTGTCACTGCCATCCCCAGGCTTTACTGAGCTGCTTGAAACTAAAGACCCTGTTTTCTGTTTCACTTCTCCAGGCATTTTTGCCATCATAATTTTTTTTTTTTTTTAGTCAGGAAAGTCATTTGGAACCATGACTCAAGCAAACAGTGCCCTACATTTGATTATGGGATTCTGAAATGAAAGAAAAAATATTTCTTGCTGGCATCATGATGCCTACCCAGGGTGACTCACTGCACCAGGAAAAAAATCAAACCTAATTGGATTGAACTTTGAAGTAACAAAAAGTCTGCACACAACGAGGATCTTCCTGTCATTTTGTAATGGAAACCACACATTGATTGGCACAAAAACATTTCGGGGGAGTGGGTGGCTCGAGGAACTGATCTGGTTGTTATTTCATTGAAGAGTTAGACAACAGCAAGTGCAGCAAGAATCCAACTTGAGGGATCTATAAACGAGTGACACCAACCCTTAGGACTAAAATATCAAGCTGTCCCTTGAAAATTACATTTCCTGCTAACTAAAATCCTATATAAAGCTTCCTCTGAGGATATCCAGGCCACTGGTCAGATGGGCAGGAACCTGTCTGCTCTGCTCTGTGTCTGATGTTCACTTTACTTTGGTGTCTGTGCTGCAGCTGTACCACTTCAGATGGAAGTGATTGCCAAGGCCCACACTTTTAAACGTGAACTAGTTTTAAATGAACAAACTACAGAGGGAGAAATCTTTTAATGGCAAATATCAGGAGATATCTTTTGTCTTTAGAGGGAAATGCTGTCAACAGCTAAAGCTCTTACATTTTTGCCTTTCATTCTCTAATGTTCATATCTGCCAGATTACAGAGGTGCTGTCTTAATGCTTCCTAGACACGATTTACTCCAGTCAAAATGCTCAATATTACAGAAAAGCCGCGTTGGATTTTAAAGAATTTAAAGTTTTACCTCAGGCTGACGTTTTACATTAACAGGTCACTTTCACTGAGCATAAATATTATCACAGATTTCAAAATTTTAGATCTGAAGTTATTTAGGTTAAGTTCTTTCAAAGCACAAGATTTCAGAGCTCACCCCCCCGGTGCTCAGAGTGCTGTTCTCATGCTCGAAGACCCCGCAGGTGTCCGTGGCCAGGAGCCAATAATCCGTCCCAAAGGCGACGAGGAAGAGCAGCACGCCGGTGCCCCCGAGGATCCCGGCTGCCAGGGAGGCTGCTCCAGCCTTCATGGGGCAGCAGGGGGGAAACCAGCCCAAGTGGGAATCAGAAAAGGAGGAAAACCCCCAGTTCCCCGGGTCTCTGCAAGAGCGGGGCCAGAGAAATGCTATTTTTGGATGTGGACAGTGATCTCCAGGCTGGTGTGAGTTTCAGTGGGTGGTGGGGCAGCACTAATAAAAGCAGATGACCTGGTGTAAGCGAGCAGCTGTGGCATTAAGGATCATGACAAGAGCAGGGAGCCATCCAAGGGAACACACGGCTGCTGCTGCCAGAGGAGCCAGGAGCCCTCAGGACACGGCTCTGGGTCACGAGTGCAGAATTCCCGGGACACCAGGGAGTTATTCCCATCCCTCCCTGCACACACGAGCAGAGGTGGACTCAAAGGTCTTCCCCACACTGTGGTGTCCCCAGCCACTGTGGTGACACCTCTCACTGTGTTCCCACAAATGGCACTTCTGGAATTTGCATCTCCCCCTTCCTCTGAGCAAAACTCTGATGCGGCTTTTACAGAAAGTAATCCCTGCAAGAAAAAGATTAAAACACCAGGAGATCTGAAATATCCCAGTGCTCTTGGGAGGGTTGCAGCCACCCAGGCAGGTCCACATGGAGCTGGACAAGGAGCATCCAACCAGGGGCACACATGGACACACCGGGGATGTCCTGCACCTCTAAATGTTCTCCCTCCTACCATGGAAAAGTGAATTATATGGATCCATACCCCTCCCACCCAGCCAGCCTGCTGTGGGAGAAGTGTCTCCTGGGAGCAAGGACATTCCTGCATGGAATTTCACTGCCATTTGCTTCCTCATGTTTTTGGCTTCTGCTGGAGCATCTGCTGTAGATCACTGCCAGGACTGGGATGCCAGACTAGGAAAATTATAATTTCTGTAGGGCAATAACTATATTCCTGTGGCATGCCAGGAGGCTGGGAGAAGAAGTTTAAATTATAGTCAAAAATCAAGTTCTGAATTTCTAACCTTAGCCTTAATCATGACCTGCTCTAAACAGGGGTGGTGATGATCTTGACTTCCCTATCCTGTGGGAATTTGTGTTGCCAAATTAATTTCCAAATCAATTTAATATTTAAAGTTACCTGTGAACATATGGGTATCTCAAAGCAACTGCACACTGGTTGGGGAACCTGGAGAGGGTTGGGAAAAATTTTGACTACACTTCTTATTGAGGCATAGAGAGTGATGAATGTTCTCAGTCTTCTGTTGTGCTTCTATAAGCACAAGTGAATTTAAATTATAATAATTTATTTTATCCTCTGCATTGTCTTTATTAAATATTGCAGGGGTAGCTGTTAAATAACACACCAGACCTCTCTCCCTCACTGTCCCAGGGGCAGAGTTGCTCTGACTGTGAGCATGTGAGGAATTCCACAGGATCCAGAGCAATCCCTTCACTGACACAGGGAAAAGGAGAGCTGGGACAGGGTGCAGACTTACCACCATGTAGGGTCAAAACTCAGCCACAGAGCTGGGATTCTGCAGGAATAAACACACCCTGTCCATCCCATTGCCCTGCCATTCCACTGGAAACACTGCCAGCTCTGCAAGGGATTTCTGTGTAGGTTCTTGTGATCCTAAACCTCCACCCATCCCATTCCCACACAAATTACCCCTTCCCACCTCTTCCCAGCATATTCAACTCTTTCCCCATAGTTTTGAACAGCAATAACACACCCATCTCCCAGCCACTGGTGCATCACTGCTGCTCTTTGTAGTGAACATAAAATGGCTGATTAAATACAAAACACAACTTATCTATCACCTAAATAATCAATTAGTGCATTTCCAATCAGCCATTTAATCACCTGGCTAAACCTGTCTGCAGTGACCATGACAATTGGTTGCCATCTCTTCTTGTGATCTCCTCCTCAAAGCTGGACACGACTGACAGGAGCTTTGGCAGCGCTCAGAGGAGCTGGGTGAAAACAAGGATTTGCACACCAGGAGTGAGGATTTTTTTGTAGCTCACACTGCAATTACATAAAATTAAAATGCAAAGTGGGCACTTGTGTATTTTTGTTTTAAAAAAGGGATTCATGCACACTTCCACACTTCTGGGTGTGTTTTGAGCCAGCTGTATTTGGCGCTGCTGTTTTTGTGCTACTGCACATCCCGAGTTAGTGCTGTTTGCCATTTGGAAGTGTCCTCTGGAATTCTGGGTCCCACTGGCAGCAAAACTCTGTGTGGCTGAGGCAGAACATTGCTGGTTCCCAGCCTTGGCTCTCCTCAGGATGCCTTGTGCCCAGTCAAACATCCAAATTCTGAGGCTGTGGAACAGGAATTGAGTTCCTAAGGTTGAAATGTCTCTCCACGCACTGAAATCCCACTCCTGACAGGTGTTTCATTCCAAGGACAGGTTGGACAGGGATTGCAGCAACCTGGTCCAGTGGGAGGTGTCCTTGCCCAGGGCAGGGTTTGGAACTGGATCATCTTTAAGGTCCCTTCCAACCCAAACCATCCTGTGACTGCAGGATGATTCTATGACTCCTTGTCACAGCCCCAAGCAGGTCCTCATCATATTCAGGATCCAAAAAATTGCTGGGCAATGAGACCATGTGGTCTCTCCCACAGCCTGTGGAAAATGGGAATGATGATGTTTGTGTTGGGATTTTGGGAATGCCACACCAAAGCCAGGGAGGTGAATTAACCACCCAGCACCACATTCCATGCAAAGGCAGACACAAACACCATTTAACTCCCAAGGAAAACAGCCCTTCCTTTCTTCCCTTGCCTCTCCTGGTGCCAGCAGACACTGCCTTCAGCATCCTCTTATCCAGAGGTCAAATGAGAGTGCCACCACGGGCAGCTCCAGGACTTCAGTGGTTGAAAAGGAAACTAATGCTGAGCATTTTATTAATTCCTAATTGTCCTTGAGGATTTTTTTTTTGTTTTCCCTTAAGCTTTTAAACCAAAATTGTGACTCTCCAAACATACATATTCTAGCAAGAAGCTGGGGCAAGTCAGCTCAGATTTTTCACAGAATTGGGTGTTTTACCTTTGAATTGATCAAAGACTCCATCAGCATAGTCTGTGTTGTTATTTCCTGCAGTTTGATCCATCTCACAGAAAAATTTACATTTTATGTAGCTAGATCAACATATTTTCAGTCTCATGCAGAAAGCAGAGGATTTCTTGGAATTTGATAAAGAGATGAGTTTCCAAGGCTGCCTTTGGAGATTTCACTGAGTCCCTTTGGAGATCTGCAGACCTTTCCTCATTGGAGCTTGGCCTGATGATCCTGGGTGGTGAAATCCTGGAACAGTCTGTTCAGGGCAGGGGGGAGTCCCCATCCCTGGAGGGATTTAAAAGCTCTGTGAATGTGGCACTTGGAAACATGGGTCATGGTGGCCCTGGCAGTGCAGAGAGAATGGTTGGGCTCTCTGTTTTAAAAGGGCTTTTCCAAACTAAATGATTCCATGGTTCTATGACCTGCCCTTCTCCAAAAGGTGTCCCATGGTTTCCTTAGGTAGGTGAGTGAATCTCTCTAGAGTCTCTTCTTTTACTCTTTTCTCCCCAAACCTCTGAACAAGAAGACACCAAGGACAGCAAAGCCAACCAGACCACAACAAGAGCACCCCAGCACTGCCAGCTTTACCTTGGAACAGCCACCAACATCCCCAATGGTTTCACAAAGAGCAACCCCCCAGCCTGAGCTGTGCTGGAAGGGAGAGCAATAGATACCCATGTTGACATTTGCCCCTTTAATTCTGCATTAGAATGGTAATCTCCAGTTCATCTCCATCACATGCTCCTTTTTCATCTCTCCCGTCTCCACGTCTCTTGGAAGAAGCACATAAGCCTGGATGTTGAAAGATCCTTAATGGTTCTTCTGAGGCTGAATCCCCTCCAGGACTTGATGTCAGTAGAGAAAAAAGCTCAGATTTGCCTCACCTGCTTCTCAAGCACCGCCAGCCCTTTCCAGGATTAAGTCATTATAATCTCCTTAAGCAGTCATGAAATAAAATAAACACAAGTGTGGTTTTCTCCTCAAAATAAAAATACTAAAGTTCACATGAGGAAATGCTTTTGGAGTCGGGAGATTTTGCCTGATTTTCAAATGCAGCTGACTGATGTCTTTGCAAAGAGTTTTCTGATGTGGTTTTTTGGCTCTTGCTTTGCCATCAAGCTACTCCCCCTCATTAACAACTTTTGCCCATTTTAACCTGAACCTTCCACAGACTCCTGTAAACTTCCAGAGTAGGCACAGAGCAAAAACTCTCTGAACTCCTAAAGGAATCAAACCGATGCAATTTATTTCCACAGAACCATGCAATATTCAATGATACACTGAATCCGTGTTTTTAACACTTTTTAAAGGACTAAAACCCTGGAAAGAATTAATTAGGCATGCTCTGAAGCCTGAGCACTTAACAGTTTTCCACTCAGTTGTAGAATTTTAAGACCACCAACACTGGATACTGGCAAAGATTATCAAAGGTATTCGGGGCTGAAATACAAACTAGTCAGAGGGCTTGGCCACTAAGTGGCTGGAAAATACTTCATAAAAGCTTTAGCCAGGCTATTCTATTTTGTAAAGAAATTTTAAGAAAAAATCCACAGTATCCAGAAGGTTAAATTTAGGGCAGAGTGACTCACTGGGAAAAAATGTCCTGCTGGGAACATTGTCTTCTCTGCAGATCAAGCAAATTGTTCATGCAGCAGAGAGGTATTGAAGGACCCAGCACTGCAAGTGGGGCTGGAAGGGAATGGTGGGCTGGGATCCACAAAGGATGCCATGCCTGAGCATGGCAATGTGGGGCTGAGCTGGAGCAGCCTCTGCAGCCACTGCACACCTGGAGCCAGCAACCCCTGGAAGTGCCAGAAGCTGGGAGATGCTGGCATGGAAACATCCCTCATGCTGAATTAAGATGAAAATGTACCATTTAAAAAAAAAAAATGGAAGGATTTTTTTTACCTTTTTTTTTCCACACCAGATAAAATTTCCATTTGATTTTCTGGCATTCTTCCAACCACTTCTGTTGCCTACAACAGTATTGCAAAGAAATCTACCCCTGCCAAAACAGCCACCATTAAATGAGGTCCTTGATAACCCATAATGATATTGCAAAAAACTGATGGAAGTCTCAATGGGAAAAAGTTCCTCATTTGTCTGATGCCCAGAAAAATGATGCATACTGTACAAAGATGACAAGGATGGGTGCAAGACAAAGATGGTACAGACATCCAGGTATTTTGGACAAAAATAACACAGGTCAGATGCAAAAGCATAAAACCAAAATAAAAGAGCCAAAAATACCCAAACAACACCCAAGCAAGAATTAGTCAATCACAGTTTCTATCCTTGATTAAAAACTCCTAGAGAAGCAAAATTATTTCATTTCCTTTTTGCTGTCCCTCTATAGAATAAAAACTACTCACCTTAGTAAATCCTCCTATGACTATGTACAGTGCAGAATTTAAGGAGAAATTTAAAAGACTGAGGACATAAAACTGCAAGTGAACAGGGACATTCCAGCCCCAGAGAGCTGAGGACCTTCAGGTTCAGTATTTTTTCTCCCTCCCTTGTATGCAATGGCTTTCACCAATGAACAACAACAGTACTTTTATTTCCTTATTACAATCACTTTCCTCACTCGTGATCTTGGGATCACTGGCCAAGGGTTCAAGGAGCTGCTGTTCCAAGAGGATCAGCCTGGAATGACACCCAGAGACACCCCTGAGTGTCCCCAGCTCCTCATGATGTCACCAGCAGCACGTTGAAGATGCAAGGAGAGAATAACTCAAAGATGATCCCATAGCACAGCAAGTTTAATTGAAACAGAAATGTAGAATGCTGCAACCTATTCATAAATGTCTTAGATTGTATCATGTATTACAACACACTCAAAGAGAGGTTTTTTTCTAAACCAAGTACAGCCAAACCCACACGGCTCCCATGCACATGGATTAAACTAGGAAACAAACCAAAACTGCAATAAATGGAAGCTGACAATAAGCCTATTTTAAAATCCATGCATATGTACATATATGTATATACACGTGTAAAACACACATCTATTGGTAAAAGCTCAAATTTTCCTTTGCAATGAAGTGAATTTCCAGTGATGGAGTGACCTTCAAGTCAACATGAACCCCCTCAGCTTATGCCAGGACACCATCAAGGGTTTTTTTCAGAAGAACATGAGACCTTGGATCATTGCAAAGCAAATTCACACAAATTTGTGCCTTTAATTTAAAATGAAAGCCCCAATGTACCATGCAGGGGTCTCCTAAGGGAGTATTTCTGCACACAGGAGACTGGTTCTGTGAGCCCAAAAATATCATGGTGGGGAGGAAGTTTGTGAATTTCTACAGTTTCTTTTAATGTTGTTTCAGAAAGAGCCACTTGTTCAGATTAAACACTGTCGGATCAGAGGAAGGAGAAGAGAAAGAAAAATGTCAACGCAAAACTAAAACTTGTCCTGTCAGGTTCAGTAAGGACAAGAATTCAAAGGCTTGAACTTACCTGGAGTTTCAAAGAAAATTACCCAAAGCTGGGGCTACCTGTCTTCCTCAGGTCTTACCCCCAGAGTTTTCCTGCATCTGCTGTGCCAAGGGCTCACACCTCTCCTGGGAGGGGCAGCCAGGGTTTGGGTCACCCTCTTGGCACTTTCAAACCCCTCTAAACCCACAGCTCCCAGCTGTGGCAGCACAGATCATCCCAAAATATCTTTGCAGGATTAGTGCAACCAACCAACCACGTCAGAAACCTTTCCTATTTATTTAAGGGCTGTCAACCTCATCTCCTGCTATCACCACTGGGTGTGGAGCCTCCTCATTTTAACTTTGAGGTGAATCATTCCTTACATAAATTTTCAAAAACCAGTAAGAACATATTTTGCCCTTTTAACTCAGCTGCAATAGTTTTTCATTAGCAGAATTGTGGCTGGGTGTGGGACAATCCCTGAGGTAAGACACAGCCCCTTACTTAACTATGTCATTTAACTTTGGGCTTCATGAGATTAATGCTTATAGTCAGGATCCATCAGTTCCTGAGGAGAAGAAGAAATCTGTTGCTGTTTCTGCTCTTTCCTCCACCCCCTAATAAAACCTTCTTTGAGATTATCAAGTTTTTCCCAACCTATAATCCAAATGCTCCCTGCTGTTTAACCTATCCCTGAAAACTAATGAGAAGATCCCATATCTCACCTTATTAAAATATCCTTCCTTGCAGTTGTACACAGTTTCAGCAACTTTCCCAGACTGAACAGGCTGATTTTTCCTAGAAATTCCTTAGAAATGCCCCCTCAGCCATTCCCTGGCATTGCTGATGCTCAGCTGGGCATCTTTGCCCTCAGTTCCCACCGAAAACCCAACACTGGGCAACAAGAGTGACCTTCCATGCAAACCTCTCTGGATATTCCACCACTGTCCTTCCCAACGTGCATATTTACATTATCTACACATCCAGCAGCCCTCCCTCACGGGGAGCCGGAGCATCCCTGGTGTTTGTACATGTCCAGAGTCAGCTCTTTCACCCCCGTGCCGCTGGGCTGGGGCGGGGGGATGGCACACACGGACTGGGACCGGCTCTCCTTCACTTCCCGAACCTTCTCCGTGTTCCCCACTGTGGGAAGAGAAACACCATGAGAAACACCATGAGAAACAACCCGAGAAACACCCTGACAAACAAACACCACGAGAAACACCACGAGAAACACCACGAGAAACACCACAACACCCCGAGAAACAAACAAACACCACGAGAAACAAACAAACACCCCAAGAAACACCCTTCTTTGTGGCTCAGCAGGAATGAAGGAACACCAAGGTGGCCCTGTGCTCTTTGGGGATGAGCTGTTCCATTCCACTCCCCAATTATAAAGCAGGAGACAAAGATCAGTGTTTCCATGCAAGAAAAAGCCAGAAAAGGTAATTTAAACCCAGGTTTACACTTCAAAATACATCAGGTATTTGGATCAATATCATCATTCTTTTGTCAGTCCTCATCTGCAGTTTTGCAGAGCAAAAATTCACATTGGTGACTTCCTTAAACCGGCTCTGGATAATTCAGGTGTCCAGCTGGAGCACCTGGAATGTCATGATGTCACATTATGGGATGTTTGATGGGGATGAACATGCAACCACAACAGAAGGGTTACAATCTCCTTCTGTTCTGACACCACTGTATGTCAGGGGCCATTTGGATCAATATCATCATTATTTTGTCAGTTGTCATCTGCAGCTTTGCAGAGCAAAAATTCGCATTGGTGACTTCCTTAAACCAGCTGTGGACAACACAGGTGGAGCACCTGGAATGTCATGTCATCACATTATGAGATTGTTTGATGGGGATGAACATGCAACCACGACAGAAGGGTTACAATCTCCTTCTGTTCTGACACCACTGTATGTCAGGGGCCATGGTGTTCATGTTTTCCTTGGGGTGGAAAAAAAAATTACCCAGAAATAATGTTTTTTATCACTTTTCTCTGCTTACGGTCATGATTTTCTTCAGGAAGAACATTACTGAAGTCTTCCTGGTAAACTGTGGATTAAAACAGCTACATCCCAGGTTGGATGAGGCAACCTGACCTAGCTGGAGATGCCCCTGTGGCAGAGGGGTTGGATTAGATGGCTTTAAAAGAGCCCAAACCATTCACTCCAACCTCAGGTTGGGCTGAGAGGGGGCACCAGGGCTGGGAAGGCTTTTGGCTCTTCTTGCTCAGCCATGAGGCTCATTTGAGGAGACCCACTCTGTCCCACAGCCTCCCTGCCCTGGCTGGGCCATTCCACGGGGATGAGGGAGGGCAGGGAATGAGCCCAGCTCCCCAGCTTACCGGTGAAGGAGCGGCAGAGCTTGGGCTGGGGGCTGGCCTCGCCCTGCGCCGAGCACGCGTCCTCCTTCTGGGACTGAGGGAGAGAAGGACTTCAGTGCCTGCTGAAACCTGCTCACAAACCAATCACTGGCAATCCCTAAGGATTCCACTCCCCTTCGTTCCACTTTTGCCATGTAAAAATAAACAACAACAACGACAAAAAAAAAGATGGATTGCTAAGAATAGACTGAAGAGATGGCGGGAAGTATTTGCAGATGGTGAATTGCTACAACACAGCAACGACAAAAAAAAAGATGGATTGCTGAAGAGATGGCGGGAAGTATTTGCAGATGGTGAATTGCTACAACACAGAATCGTGGAATGGTCTGGGTTGGAAGGGACCTTACAGATCATCCCATTCCAACCCCTCTGCTGTGGGTGGGGACACCTCTCACAGGACCAAGTTGCTCCATCCAAACTGGCCTAAAACCCTTCCAGGGATGGGGCATTCACAGCTTCTCTGAACAACACTGGAAGCTCTTCGTGGGCTGTCAAGAATTTAGAAATAAAACTGAGCCAGTGTCAGAGGCTTAAAGAATTAAAATGGCACAATACAGCAATTATGTTTTGAGTTCTGGAAGAGGTCTGAGCTCCCCAGGAATGGTTCAGCTGAAAGGATGGGAAGAAGCAGCCCTGGAGCTGGGAGAGCGGGGCCGGGAGTGCAGAAGGCAAAGCTGTCCCCAGGATATGGATGTTTCTCACCTTGGCTGTTCCCCACGTTGGCTGCAGGCCAAGGAGGCAGGTAACGAGCTGGCACTAACGAGCTCCCTGTCCTTTCACTCCAGTGCTAATCTCCACCCTCCAGGACAAAAAAAAATAGGAATGAAAAAAATAAAAATCAGGTAGCACAAAGCCGCCTGGATTGTTCGGTGCCTCTGCAAACTGGGAATAAGTCTCTCACGCAGCTGTGATTTGGCACCTCGGTCCAGAAACCCAGACTGCCAAAATAACTCTGGACCCCTCCCAGCCTGGTTTTGTGTTTTGTTTCTGTTCGTTCTCCTCCCTCCCCTAACGAGGACCGCTGCCCTGCATCCCTTGTTCTCACTTTTATTGACCATTTTCATAACAATGCCTCCCCGGCTCGGGCAGCAGCGCCCCGGCTCCCTGGAAAGCCATTCCCAGGGGCACTGAGCGATTCCCAGAGCATGCTCCATGAAAGGGCTCTGACATAATTACCAGAGGCACTGTGTCATTTACGCACATGGCTCACAGGCAGCTCCAAATAAGCTCCTTCTGGGGGAGTGCACTCCTGTTTTGGCAGGAGAAAAGAGGACCGAGTTGCCTGGCTACAGGTGCAAGGATTTTCTGGGTGCTCCGTGGTAAATAAAAGCTGTCCTGGGTCTCAGAATCTGCCCTGCCAGCTCGGGCCGGGCTGGATCCCTGCCTAAAACAAGGCAAGCCCCAGAAGCAGCCGGCGCTGGAAGCCAGCAATGATGCACAGCTCCAGGAAGCAGCAGCCTTCGGCAGGAATTTTGTCCTTAGGCGGAGGAAGGCGAACTTTCTGCTGGAAATAGATAGTCTTGGAGTTAATCCTCTGGGCTGTGGTTCAGAGCTGAAGTCACCTCCTTCTCCTGCCAAGGTCCTTCTGCCTGGTGTAAATCATTTAACCTGCTCTGGAGGAAGGAAGGTTGTCCTTTTCTCGCTGCTTCTCCCTGTTTGCTCTCCTTGGAGGAGGCTCCAGGAGCCCCCTCTCCATGCTGTAAACACACCCGAAGTGCAGGAGACCCCTGGGGCACCTAAAGCCACCCAGGGAGGTGACTCAGAGCCAAGAACAGTCTGGGTGGAAGGGACTTCACCATCCCTGTGTGGTGCTGGGCACAGAGCTGGGCACTGCCTTCTCCTCTGGAAGGAGATGCAAGGTCCAGCAGCCAAGATGAACCTGGACCCTCCCCAGCCTGCTGAAGCCACCAACCCACACGAGGATGCTCTCCCACACGAGGATGTTCTCCCACACATCCCTGATTTCTGTCTGGGGGGAAAAGACCAACCAGCCCCTAATAAAATGTGATAAATGAAATATTTAACTGAGCTACAACAGCTTCATGTTTAACAGCAAAGCTCTCAGCAGCTTCACTAAAAAATAAAACCAGACACTCACCAAACAGAAAAAAACAGGGTTTCTACTGAAGCAAAGGGATTTTTTTAATTATTTCCTCAGCCTCTAACGCTCAAGGTATCACCAAAGTTTTTTTTTCAAGACTGGCATTGCAATTGCAGGAGTTTCACCAGCACCACAGGGTTCCAGTGGCCCTTTGCTGGAAGTTTATTTCCCGTCCCTGGATTTCTAGTTGGGGTTGCAAACACAGTTGTAATGCTTCCATCTCGTGGTGAGATGTAGAATAGAAAAACGTGGGGAGCAACAGCATGCAAGTTTTTCTTGCTGACTCAAAACCTGGAAGGCCAAACCCTTCCCTGTGGGACTACAAAAGATGGAATATCTGACAATCAGAAAAATCTCTAACACTACTGACATTTTTCATTAATAGCTTTTTTTTTTTAATCAGGAAAATATCATTTTCTTTTCAATTTGGCATGGAAGAAACATGAGTAGCTGCTTTTTTCCCAAAAATTGCTAAGTATTGAGCTGCTTATAATAAGCTAAAATCTACTTTCTAGCACAGTGTTCTTTCTTTCTGCTGACAAATTCTGCAATCTGTCCTCCTACAGCATGAAGTAACAGCATTCACCCACCCTCCTTAATATTATATAATATTATATATATAAAATTAATATGGTGTTAATATTTCAGGGCTCTGTTAGAGCATTATCCCATCACTTTGGGGCATCATTTTATTTCTTTTCACAGTAAATGAGGCACCTATTATTAAAAATTAGCAGAAAAGCTGCTGGTGACACAAAACAGGCCTGGCTTGTTCTTTTGGGCACTGGGGGATGGTTTTGGGGTTAGAACCACCCTTGCAGGTGTCACTGGGATCAGCTCCCAGTATTTGCTGTCATCTCCCAGGTAGGACAGGGCATCGTGGTCTAGTGGAAGGTGTCTCTGCCCATGGCAGGGGGTTGGAACTGGATGATCTTTAAGGTTTCTCCCAACCCAAAATATTCTGGGATTTACATCTGCTTCCCTTCACCCAGCACAAAGCCAAGGTGGCTGCAGTAAAGAGGGGTGAGCACCACCACCAAGTGGCTCCAATGACACAACAGTCAGTATTCAGCATCAAATTGGCATTTTCCATAATCCACAGGGCATTTCCCACCCTCAGAGGGCATTTTCCATCAAGTCAGCAGACACAGAGTGAATCCTACTGCTTTTGCAATTCCCCAAAAACCATTCTGTTCCCCCAAAGCCCAGCTGCAAGCACTCAAAGGAACAGGAGAAACAGCGTTCCCAAAGCTCCTGGATTTCCCATCAAATGCAGCAGAGAAGGGGAAAGCAGGAGCACAAGGGTTAACAATCAAATATTCTTAAAGTAGAGAACGTCGTGCTCAAAATCAGCCCGAGTTTGATGTTGCTCTTTTGAAGTTTAATTATACCAAATGTTCTACAGGAACATGCCATGTTCTTGCCTATCTATTCTGAATTGTAAGTACCAATCAGCATGTAAATGATCAAATTAAATCCTTTAAGTTGTTTGCAAGAGCCAGAACACCTTTCTGGGAAGGAAGGGCTGAGCACCAGCAGCGTTTGGTGCGGTGCTGCTGCTCTCAGTGGGCTCCTCCATGATTGGCACTTCCACGAGGAAATTGGAGTGGAAAAAAATCCACAGCACTCCCAAGTTCTTGTGCTGTCATGGAAAATTGCTATCTAAATAGGGAAGGGTAATTTATTTCTTTCTAAAAGGTCATTTTGTTCTCATCAGTGATGGAGCTTGGCTGCTCAGATTAGAGCTCACAGCTCACGCTTGGACAGTGCTCAAGCCATCAAAACCTGAAATTCGGAGAAGTGAGTGAAATTTAGGGATGGTTCAGCAATTACTGCAAGCACCACCTCTTCCAGACCTCAAAGAGTGTTTGGACAACACTTTCAGGCACGGGGTGGGATTCTTGGGGCTGTCCTGTGCAGGGCCAGGAGCTGGCCCAGTGATCCTCATGGATCCCTTCCAATTCTGGAAGCTCTGTGATTCTGCAGTGCTGCTGACCTGGGTATCTGGGAGCAAAAAGATGACAAGGGTGAAATGCTTTTCCTCTAAAGTGTTACAGAGGGTGGGAGGAACTGCCTGGAAACCTTTCTTTTCCATAGATAAATGTTGGCCCAGCTTCTCTCACCAATCTCCAAGGAGCAAAAGTCTTCACCAGGCACAGAGGTTGTATTAACCCTGTTTCTCCTCTGATTCAGAACATAAACCAACACAGAGCTACGCAAGCAGTAAACTGGAAAAATTTTCATTTCTCACAGGAACCTGGTAAGCAAAACTTGCTCCTATTTTACGTCTTTCAAGCCTGCTCAGAACTGTAGATGTGTTTAAAAACAAAGAACTCACCCCCAGAATGCATAAGAAAGATTACAAAAATGCTTCTGTCCTTTCAAGAGAGTTGGGGGGGAAAAAAACACTGAGCAGTTTCAAATATTTACACTCCGTACCACTGACAATGGGGGAGACAAATTCCTGTCTTTGATGAAATCTCCCAGAAAAGAAAACACGGGAAAACCAGACCTCAGGATCGACAGAGTGAAGCCCAGTCAGTGACATTTGCTCAGTAAAGAGCTTTCCCAGCACGGGTGGAAGTCACAAAGCACTGAACAGGGCTGTGCCTGGCATGGCTCCTTGCTTTGCCAGGGGCTGGGTTGGAGGGAGTTTTTCCCTTGGTATTTTTCCTATTTGTTGGAATGTGATTTGGAATAGAGACTTAAAAAAAAAAAAAAACAAGATTTGTCTTTCGAAGGGAGCACCACCAGCAACAAGCAGGCTGTGGGGAAAGCAGCCTGTGCGTGGTCCTGAGCTCCCCCTTACCTCCTTCCTGGAGCTGCAGGTGTCGCTCCCGGCCACCTCCACCAGCAGGCTCTTGTGCCGCAGGATCAGGATCTCCTTGGCCTGCTCGGCGGGCTCGCTGTCCCCGGGCAGGGTGTGCCTGTTGTACGCCGGGCCCTGCAGGGGACACAGGAGCATCACTGCCCTCCTGCAGGATCCTCCTCCCCTGCAGCCATCCCGCCAGCTAAGGGCATGCACTGGTTTAGGAGGGGATGGAAAACGCCATGGAAGGGAGATGGGGCTCCAAACTCTGCTTTTTTTATGTGAAATCACCAAAGAAATCACTGAATGACAAGACTGAGTTACAGCTGGTACCCAGGTGACACAACGAGTGCAGTGACTCTGCTCCAGGTGCCTTCACAGCTTCATTCCCCAGTGTTCTGTGCTAACCCCACCTTCCCATATAAATCACTGGGAACCATAAATTCTCCTTCAAAAGCCACCACCCAGCCAATTGCAATCTCCCACTAACACCAGTGGGAGTTGGGATAATGCTGTCTCTACAAGGGTGAGGCTGGATTAATGCAGGACTAAGCTCAAACTAGAGCTGTGCCTTCATCTTCATCCCTCCACCATGTCCATAGGTTTTTTCCCAGCCTTATCCCATTGTTTCCCTCAGCTCAGCAAAGGGACAGGAGGGGGAGGCTGATCCCTCTGTGCTGAGCTGCCCACATCAGCCCCACCCCTAAGGACTCTGTATTTTGGGTGTAATCCATAAAACAAAGACTGAGATGGATTTTAAGGCTGAGTCTCCCTACGAACAGGAATTCACAGGTGCTGTATGAAACCCCAGACATGATCCATGATTCTGTGAACAGCAAGTGGGGTTTATGCCCTGTAACCACTGGTAACAGTTCCATGGCAAAACTGCTGGGTGGATTTTAAAGCTCTGCAGATTAATTCCCACTCACAGCTCACTTCCATGGGGAAAAATGTACCATGAGGGTCACCCCATGCCTGCTCTGCCCTAGAGCTGCTGCTGGATCTGCTATAACCCAGTGCCTGAAGTTCCACGTGCTCCTCCTTTCTCCTTTTCCCTGCCGGGTACCGATGCCGAAAATATTCCATGAAATTATAGGCTGACTGGGTGAACCTTTCAAAAGCTGTCAGGCAGCAAACAGAAATGTGCCACTGACTTGGAAACTGGATCTGGCTCCACACAGCCAACTATTCTCTCCTCACAAAGAGACATCCTGGGTAATTATGGAAATATTCATAACATCTGCTCAGGCTGTTCGGATAACCGAGGAAATTTGTGTCATTGGACACTTGAAATATGGATGGAGGGAGAAGTTGTACCGTCCTCCTGATCCGGTACAGGTTCCTCGCCAATATTTCCTGCATGTTGTCCAGGACATCAGGATTTGGAGTGTCCTCCAGTTTCTGGTCTGTTATGACAGTCCTGTCGCTGCTGCTGCAAAGGAAAGCAGAATAACTTATTTTGGAAGATGCACAAGAAGTGCGTCCCCAAATCTCAGTGCCCCTTTGGGATCCCACCACAGCCAACAGCTCATCTCTGCAGATGGAGCTCGTGGCAAAGCAGGAGTTTGGCATTTGCATCAGAGCTGGGCTGTCCATATGCTCCCTGGTGGATAAAAGAACCGTGGGGAGCTGTGGCAGAGCAGAACCATCTGTGAGGTCTGAAGTGGCCATTCAGAACATTCAACAGTGCAAACCCATCCGAAATTGGGCAGCAGCCTCTTCCTCAGAGCACCACTTCCCTGTAACTCGTGGGGACACAGGCGGCCCTCCACGTGCCACCATCAGTGCCGGGGGATGCTCATCCACCCCACCACTTTTAGCTCCCAGGTGCCGAGTTTGGGTGGTGTTTGCTCACAGGAAGGAGGGGGGGGCGAGGCCGTGGCCCAGCTGCCCAGCCTGGGCCAGCTCCATGGCGTGCTTGCGCTCCAGCTTCTCGTAGAGCAGCACGATGCTGGACTTGGGCTGGTCGTACTCCCTCAGCAGGATCTTCTGCAGGTATTTGCTGTTGAAATATTCCAGTCTGTCGGAGAGCGAAACGAGATGGGTTTAGCCTCTCCCCTGACTCCCCAGCACCAACAGCCCTGAGCAAGGCAGCAGGGTCACAGCCCATGGGTGCCCCAAATTCCATTAAATTCCATTATATCCCATTAACTCCTCCTCAGAAATCGATGGTCCAAGAGGTCAGTCCCTAATTATGTCTGCATTACAGTGCATGAGTCAAAATATTAAAACTTCACTAATTACAATAAAAACTCCCCAAAAGTGCCAGATATATCATGAACTCTTCTAGAAGTGCTACATCTACATTTCAACACTTCCAGATTCCCTCTTAAGCCATTTCCTCTTCTTTTCTGCCCAAATCGTTGAATAATTTAGGTTGGAAAAGACCTCTGAGATCATCAATCTCTCTCAGATCTGCTCACAAGGAGCCAGGATGCTCCTCAGCAGCAGTGTCTCCCATACCCTCTAGTGGCACTTCCAAGCATGGGCATTCCTACAAAATCTCTACCAGCTGCATCTGTGTCTGGACCACCAAGGAATTAAACCTGGTACACAGTATTTTTAGTATATTTATGGTATTTGTATTTTTTGTTTTGTAAATCCTGACACATTTTTTTTAATTTTAAAATGTACAAACTTACAGAATTTAATGAAAATTGAACACTTTGCTACAGAAAACTGTAGAAATCTCATTCCACAACAAGCAGTGCTGCAAACTCAGCTCTTTAATGTTAACTGTGCACAGCCTGGGACAGGCTGCATGTCATGACCACGGCACTTCGAGAAGATTTCTTTGGGCAAGAAGGGAAAAACACAACAGGAGAGGAGAAAGGATCTTTTTAGGGTGATGCAAAAGAGGTGCCTGCAAGCAGGGAAGTGCCCTGAAAACCTGGTGTCCCCTTGGACAAGGAAATGCTGTCCCTCTGTCCCCTCCCTCGTGCCACGAGGATGAACAAGGCCCAGCTGCCCACAGCAGAAACTCTGGGAATAAAAACCAACCTCCTTTTTTTCCTACACGTGTACACCGTTGTATTTTGGCAAATCCTTACTTGTCTTTCCAGTAATACTGTCCCCAGTGTCCAGATATATCTTCAATGCCAGCCAGCAAGTGATCCAAGAACTAAAGAGGAGAGAGGATTTCGCTCTACGCCGGTTGCATGCCTGATGAACCCAGCCAACAGCAAAAGCCACACACACACAGCAGGGGATGCTTCCAGCTCGGGATATGGAGCTGGAAACAAGGAGAGAAGGCACTGGGATCATTCTCCAAACACTCATCCGTTGGTGCTGGTTTGCTTTCAGGTGTGGGCAAGCAGAGGATAAAGGCTGAGGGCCATGAATCTGCTCTCTGTGATAGGTACAGGAGGGCTGATGGCTCTCATGTTCTGGGCCTTGACCAGCAGGAAAGGCTCATTTTGGGGTTTTTGAGGACAATTTGTCTCAGGAAATCAGTATTTTCGTGATATAAATGTAGGTAACACATAAATGTCAATCTTGAATAATAAATACTGCCTTTCCCCAGACACTTCCCACTATATAAAATCATCATATTATACTTTATATAAATAGATTATTATTGTTTAAAATTATATAAAGAATCCCAGCCTGGTTGGGTTTTCCACCTCAAAGTTAAATCCCTGTAATTTCCCAAACTGCCTTCCCTCCTAATGGCATCTCTGCTCTGTTGCCCTCCACACTTAGGTACCAATGACCCTGGAACTTTCCACAGACCTAAATTTTTTTTTTAAAACTATCTTTTTGGGGGGTCAGAGACAGAAAAGTTTCAGAGCAGCTGGCTCAGCCCTGCAGGCTGGTGTGGGTTTAGTGCCCTCACATGGCTGCTGGCAGCTGTGAGCTCCACAAACACAGTGGAGGGAAGCACTGAAGTGTCCCATCCCTGGGAGTGTCCCAGGCCAGGTTGGACAGGGCTTGGAGCAACTTGGGATAAGGCAAGGTGATGAGATGAGTTTTAAGGTCCCTTCCAACCCAAACTACTCTGATTCTCTGGAATTACACTCACACATCACTCCTACAAGCAGAATATCTCAACTATCCAGATGGCAAAATAAATTTGAGGAAGAAAGATGCTTCTGGCTTCTGCATCCCTGATTTCCAACTATGTGCATTTTTACCTTCTCAACTTAATTGGTGCATGGCTATTTTCAGCTCACACCTCCTAATAAACACATTTCTGAGATGATTTACCATTCACACCCTAACAAAAGAACAAAGTCTTCTCTGTTCACAACTGGAAAAGGCTCCTCAGCCTCCTGAGCTGTTGTGTTAACCTCAGACAAAGCCTTTGTGAGGATGCCAAACAGGTTTTACAAATGTCCTCAGCCCCAATGGCTTTATTGCTAAAGAAACAATGACAATAATATTCCTGAAGGAGCCATACCCACAGAAACGTGGCTGGGATTGAACAATTAGATTCAGAAATATATTAATTTTCCATCGGATGCAGATGCAAATGAAAAGCTCAGCTGAGTGGGAGAGCAGCTGATCTCATGGAGCTGAGCCTCTCCCTGAAGTCCTCTATGACTACAAATACCAACATCTGGGTGGTGAGAACAAGGGGAATGAAATCCCACCTTTGAGTTATGGATGTAGAATCACAGAATGGTCTGGGTTGGATGGGACCTTACATCTCCTCTCATTCCAGCCCCTGCCATGGGCAGGGACACCTTCCACTACCCCAGGTGGCTCCAATCCCCATCCAACCTGGTCTTCAGTAATTTCAGGGATGGTGCACTTCAGAGGTTCCCTCCAATATGGCACCAACGTTATCCTTTTCTTTTTTTATTTTGCAAAAATATCTGAACCAATGGTGGTGATGGGACAGGAGAACACATGGAAATTCCTAATCCTGAAAGCAACCAAGCCTCGTTTTCTTTCCTTCTCTCATTCCAGAGAGCAGAGACATTTGAGTTAGGTCACAGCTTAAAGTTTTGGGCAAGAAATCATCTTTTTCTCTCATGTTTGTGCATTACTTTATGTTACATCAGCCTGACTGGTGGCTGCTCTTCCAATGCAAAAAAATCCCCATGGTTAGGAACCTGAACAGGACTTCCAGCATGGAAAGGGGGTGACCTGCAGAGGATTTGGGTAAACCCTGGAGACAGGGACATTCCAGGAGATCTCAGAACGCTCTGGGCACCTGCTGATGGAGGCTCCACTTACCCGGATGTGGATCTGCTCTCCCACCGTGGGAGCACTCTCCCTTTTCCTCTTGACAGCCAACAGGTCCACGAGGGGACGGATGGTCATTCCCTGCAGAGTAACCACCGACACAGAAATCAGCCTTTCCTCACACCCAATTTTCCTCCCCTGGAACAAAAGCCACCAGCATGGGGCTGAGGCACAGCGACCCTGTTCTGGTGTTCCAGCAGCCTCCCTCACCTGCCCTGCTTTCCTGGCAGGATAAAACCTGCAAAGCTTCAACAGGACTAGAAATTGTTCTCCCAGGTGTACCCCAAACACTCTGTTTGCTCCTGGTAGGAACCTGGCAATGGGAGCTCACAGAGAGGCTTCAGTGTGGAGGGAAGAAAGTTCCACTCGCCTCCTCCGAGGCCACAAAAAGCCAACCAATAATTCCAAGGTCAAGCCTGTGGTTTGCTGCTGCTCGTGGCCTCCCAGATGGAAAGGGGCTTGAAACGATCCAAGTTCAAATGCCTGAAATGAGGATAATCCTTGGGATTTCTCAGCACGGAGCCTCCGCCAGCAATTGTCTGCTCACTCCTTAAGCACTGTGTGTCACACACCATTACTCCAGCCATCTCTGATGGCCAGCCAGTGGCTAAGTTTCCTAATCAAAGCATCCACCTGGTGGGAAGGGTCAAAGAAAAGTTTTAATATCCTTTAAGACTCGTGAGAGAACTAAAATGCTGCTGTGGTGTGTTTCTTAGTCCGGCTTCCTTATGAAATGACTTTTCTAGGACATGTTTACAGCAAAAATGATGGAGTAGTTGATGTTTATGACTTCTGAATGTCACAAGTGCTGGCACAGAGAAGAGTTGAACACATTTTTAATTGCAGAAACAATTAATGTGTCATTTTAATAGCTAATAGCAATAAAAAATGTGTCGCTATTCAGAGTCAATAACACAGAACTCACAAATTCCAGAATAACAGATAATACAAAAATTAGGCAGAGACTGTGCAATTTGGCCCCTTGCCTTCCTAGATAATCAGCTGCAGTTGTTTCCTTTTTAAAGCAGCATTTGGGACTGTTATGGGAATCCCATGTGTCATTCCAGGCCACACATCATTTCCCAGCACACCTGCAGGTCCCCAGTGCTGCTCCTCCACCCACCAGGGATAACTCATCCCAGGGAGTGTCTGACAGCTCCATCACAGCTCACACAACATTTTCCACCTCCAGAAATCCAGTGGGACAGCGCAGGCACCAAACAACCTCCCCCCTTCACAATTATTACATTTGCTCAGGATTTCATGGCAGAGGTCAGGGGTCAGTAAGTTGAGAGAGTGAACTTCCAACAGTATTTGATTTTAAAACCACACCAAGAGGCAGAACAATGAGGGGGGAGTTTGTGACATTCCAGACAAGCCCAGAGAGCTCCCTGGAGAACTTCCTGGTCTATGTGGTACAAAGCCAGCCTGCCTGGAAGCACTGAGGAATTGACAGTGGCTCAGTCAACCTGCCCAAAATTATTAACCAGGCTTGTTGTGGGATGAGCCTTATGCAACTGGCTTAGGAAGGCCAAAAGAGAGAAGTTTCCTGACCTGTGGAATGCTCTGATAGAGCCATGGGCAGCCAAGCCCAACTGCTCACAGGGTTTCCAGCCAGCAGGGGCAGGATTTCCCAGGGAATCATAGGATGTGGAGGGTTTGAGCTCTGACAAAATCATCCAAACCAGCCTAGGAGGGCCCAAATCACCTCTGCCTTGGTTTCTGTCCTATTTTAACACAGACACTCCCCAACAAGTCTATATAGAGATCACTGTGAATATAGAGAAAACAATTTGCATTTAAAATAGAACAAGAAATGTCCACTATGCACAGAACTTGTTTCACAGCCAATACTTCTGTTACCCTTTCCACACAGAGTGACCATGAAAGATGCTGGGATGCTAATAATATTTCCTCCCCAATAATGCATCCATCAATGTGTCTGGCAGCAGCACCACAAACTTGATTTGCCAGCCCAGGCTTTTGAAGGTTCTGCTACATTTACTCACCTTTTTCTATGCTGAGCTGCAGCAATACCTTTCTGCCTCAGGTTTTAAGTAATTTTCCTGTTTTTTCCTCCCCCTGTTGTTGTGGTGGCCCTGGCACTGCAGGTCCCTGGAGCCCAGCACTGCCCCTCTGCAGACAAGGTCAGGGGTGACAGAGGGACCCTGCTTAACTCTCACCCTTTTGCACAGGGATGACATCACCAGCTGAGCTTTGAGGTTACACAAAAGCCGTTTTCCCAGCCCGGGAAGGATTTCCCAAAGCCTGGAGCTGCTGCCTTAGAACAACCTTTGTGTGAGGCTCAAGAGCTGCTCTGCGTGAGGGACGTGCCTGGGGACCGGGGCTTTTCAATTTCTCACCCACATTTGCATCTTAAAACTCGTCAAGCTCCACCTAAGCACGTCCCCCAGCCAGCCTGGCCCCTTCTCTCTCCTTTCAGGCTGAGGCTGTGCCCAGTCCCTCTGCCCTGCAGATCCCAGCTCTGATCCCATTGGCACCACACATTCTGATCCATCCTCCACCACTTCTCCAGCTCAGGATGAGGATTTGGGTGGATGTGGGGAAGCCAAATCAACCCCAACCCTCCACATTGTCCCAGTGCTCGACACCCACCGGAGGGGTTCAGTCAGGAAAAGCAGAAGGAATTTGTCTGAGGGTGATGCTCAGCCACGGGGCCACTCAGCAGCTGCCACTATCTCCCAAAGGCCCAGGAACTCCTCTGCTCCTGGGCACCAGCTCCACATGGACCTCATGTCCTTCACCAGGAGCTTGTAGGGAGTTTCTCTACATGAGATCTTTCCTAAACATCCACATCCCACTCACTTCAGTCCTGTGCAGAACCCCTCTTAACTTTTTGGGATAAACAGCAGGTGGACATCAGCCTTGCTCACTCCAGCACCAGACAATCCCAATATTTCCACCACAGCTTCCTTCAAACGTGGCTGTGTTTGCCAGATGAACTAAGAGCTGAACTTCAGAGAAGCCCTCAGAGACCTGCTGCTGGTCAGAGAAGATCAGGGAGACATCCAAGACCCCGATCCCACAGAGAGCTGCAGGAATGGTTTTACCACTAGATGTCACAGCAATGCTGAGAGCTGCTGCTCCTCCCGAGCCCTGGAGCACCTCAATTCCTCAAAACTCAGAGCTGGAGCACCAGAACTTCCAGCCCCAGCGTGAGGGAGAGGAACCTTCCCCACCAGGCTCCTGGAGGGGACCCAGTCCTGAACCTGTGCCCAGGACTGGTGTTACCTGCACGAACACGGTGAAGAGGATGACAACAGTTGTTGCTGCAATGAAGAGCTTCTTCCTGTGGAAGTCAGGCAGCAGGAAAACCAAAGAGAAGCAAATGGCCCCTCGGAGCCCCCCGTAGGCAATGATGAACTGGTCCTTACTGGTGATGGTGTTCACGTGGAATCTGTTCACAAAGAAAGTCAGCACAAGAACCCCTGAAAAGCAGGAAGGTAGGTTGAGGCACATCAGTCAGATAGAACAATTAGAGAAAACTCATGATCTTACATTTTCCAGTAAAACATCACGGAATTGGTAAATACCAACTACAAGGAACTAGCCACGGCACAAGGGGGTGTATTCCCAACATGCTACTGGAGAATTTTTCTTCCAGTCTGATCCAACAGGTTGAAATTTACTTTGTGCAGATAAAACTTAATCCCCAACATATTTCTAATTTGAGAAATTACAAATATTGACTGGCTACAGTCCTGAAATATTAATTGATTTATTCTAATTGGTGATAACAAATGACTGAATCGTTGAGGTTACAAATGCTTTTGAGGCAAATCAACAGCAACAATTTAACCACGAATTGCCCTCCTATTTGCCAAAGTTTCCAAGCAGTAGCTTGGATAAGTAGCTATATTCCACCTGTGTTAATGTTATTTCTTTCCCTCAGATTTATACGATACAAATTGAAGGCCACGTGAGGTGACACAGCAATTGCTGTGATTTACAGCCATTTACAAATGCACAAACAGATGCAGAAAGGTACAAAAGCCAGGCCTTAAATCAGTAGGCCGTGATTTTAATCCCAATGGAGGTGATAAACATCCCATTTCCCAAAGATTAACAGCCATTTGAGAACTGATGGCACCGCCTGTCACTGACTTTGGTTAGGAATTAGCTGCAGCCACAGCACTGTTGCTTTTCTAGGGGGTGTTTGTAAAAGAAACAAAAACAGTGCATTTATTATGTACATATCAAACATCTTCCCACACACCTCCAGCTAAAAATAGCTGAACTTTTACTGTACATTGGAGGAGTGTGAAGAAAACAAAAAGCTGGGGATGTTTGGGAATAGGGAACTCAGTTAACTGAACCTTGTGGCACCTTCCCCATCTCTGAAGCTCTGCAGAACTGGTGCCCGGACCGGCAGACAGGAAGCACTTGGGTGTCAAGGTTCTTTGTAACTTAAAAAATAAATAAAACAAAGCCTCCTTCAGATCACATCCACCCCTACTGTACAGCTCAGGCAGTGCTGATGATTTAAAGGAACAAAATTTACTTGAGCTGATATCCTGGCCTTTGTCTTAATTTAATCCTTCCTCATAAATTATTATTAGCATTCCCTAAACTAATTCAAGGCCAGTTTGCTCCAAGAGATGACATACAATTAATCATTCGGAGCAGAATGTATTTTCTCCTGCAGATACCTGGGGAAAGAGCAGGAGGAAATCTCCCCAGGGCTTGGCTATCAGCAGAGCCCCAGTGCTGCCATGCAAGGGCTTGACTTTCCTTTTTAGATCATCTTCCTCATACCAAAGGAATCCCCCAGGTTTCAGCAGAATCATTTCTCAAACATTTAAAGCACTGAGAGTGTTCTAGGAAGGACTGGGGTACAGTTTACCCACCAATCCCAGCACTGCCCACCCAGAAATCCCCAGTTCCTGCAAGGAAATGTGGGGGCACCTCCCTTTTCTGGATCAGAGCCTCAAGCACCTCCAGAATCCTGGCATTAAGATTGGAAAAGTCCTCCAAGATCACCAGGTCCAACCATTCCTCCAGCACTGCCAAGGCCATCACTAACCCATGTCCCCAAGTGCCACACCCTCACGTTTTTGAACACTTCCAGGGCTGTTGTCTCCACCAGTGCCCATTCCAATGTTTGGCATCCCTTTCCATGAAGAAATCTCCCCTATATCCAGTTACTAATTAATCCAGAGCTGCTGGATGGCTCAGAGCAGGCCAAGGTCTAATCTCAAGCACATTCTCCAAGGCAGGAGTTTCCCTGGCTTGGTGCAGCCCCTTCCCAGTTCTCACCCTCCCAGCTCCCTGACAGCTTCCCAGGAAGGTGCTGCAGGACAGGAACACCCTGGGCAGGACCACTCAGACAATCTCCAGCCCTGGTTTGTGTGTTCTTATTTAATTCCAGGGAGATTTTGACTGGAAAAGGGGGGCTGCAGCCTGAGCCCTTGCCTGATAACGTGCTGCATGATTTAAGCTGCTCTCAGAAGGGCTGTGCTTAGGGAGGATTTTTGGGGTACTTTTGTAGCATTGCTATGTTCTTATATCTTGCAATGAAGAATTTTTGAACTAAAAAAAAAAAAATCAAACTCACTGAGAACTCCTTTCATCTGAGCAAATAATTTAAGAGAAACCACTTAATGGAAATAAAACACTCGAATGTACAAAAAACTGACTAATGAGCACATTTCCAAGTCTGGTGCGCAGTTATTAAAACAAACTTTGGCATGTCCTAACAGCTAATAAACCTCATTCTGCTCGGCCTTGCTAATCATGGCCTAACCTATTTAAACAATTTCTTGAAGTGTCTGTCAAATTCGAGTTCACTGCTTGACTTCTGGTTTGTAAACACAAATCCTGCTGAACGTTTTTAAGCTCTCGAATTTTTTTCCAAAAATGTGTGCTGTTATTTTCCCAAATGTTGTTAGGATATAAAAATACCCATAACTGAGGCACTGTGCACTCATTAGGTGCCAAACACTGCAAGAGGAATGGAGGTCCAGCCTCTCCCAGCACGGAATCAGCACAAGATGCAACGGAGGAGAATGGAAACAAAGCACATCTATTTTCTCTGGTAATTTTCAGTGCATGAAAATGGGATCCCAGGGAATCCTGGAACCAGCACTTGGGTTTGCATTGTAATTGTGGCTAAAGAAACTGCAGAGATGAGTTATCAGGAGAGTGTTTTCCTGCCTTGCTCCTCATCATCACCAAGCCTTGGTCTCTTTATTGCTGTGAGGTTGGTCACACACCCTGATGAGTTTTCCAGGGATGCTGCAGACTCTCCATCCATGGAGATAACCAAAAGCCATCTGGACACAGCCTTGCCTGCCTGCCCCTGCTCAGGCAGGGGTTGGAGCAGATGACCTCCACAGGCCCCTGCCAACCTCAGCAATTCCCCAGCTCTGCCACTCTCGACCCTGACCTGAAATTCTTGAGTAGGAGCAGGAGCATCCTCACAGTTTAGGTCCCAAATCTCGTCTACCCAGGACAGTTACTGGAATGTTCCTCCAGTTCCCCAGTGAAGGATGCTGCTGTACACCAGCTTGTTATGAATTAAATCCCTTAAATTCAGAGGATTTTCATGGATCTCTCGCCCCAAGGTATGTGCCTACAAATTCCCTCCTGCTGGGAGAATACCAAGAGACTAAAAACCACTGAAATGGAAGAGGAGATCATGGCAATGAAGGAGGGTAAAGGAAGATCATGGCAAAAAAGGGACATTGATAAAACAGATCTCATGAGAGCTTCTATCCAGCACCAGTGAGTGCACAGAGCAGGGAACTGCAGCAGAATGCAAGATTTGGAATTGAGTGAGATGGAGGAGCAGGAAGCATTGGCTGGGATGTCCCAGTCCAGTCCTATCATTCCCATCAGGAATGATCACACTGCAGAGCGAGCAGGAAAGGATGATGGAGGGCAGAGCATCCTCTCATCTAATGGAATCTCATTTTTTACTCCCATAAACAGTAACACACGTGAAAAACCAAGATCTACAATTTCCCCTACCAAGCGCTCTCCAAACGAGACAGAAAATAACTGTGAAGCAAATGTAGGGCCAGTTCCACTCGTGGTTTTCTCCAATGGTGGAAACTCCGAGGAAGATGAAGATGAGGGTGTCGCTCACACTGCTCCACATCTTCATGAAGTACTTGACTGTGGTGTGGGACTTTAGGGAGATGTTGGCCTCCACGTAACGCTTCATGCCCATGGCACAGGAAATGATGCTGAGGAAGTGAGAAAATAAACAACAGAAAATAAATATGTTTGAAAAATTTAAAAGAAAACTTTTTTTTCTACTTTAACACTGAAAGTCAACACATCAGTTATGAAAAAAGGGGGTTTCAAAATAAACAACAGAAAATAAATGTTTGAAAAATGAAAATGAAAAATATGTTTTTCTACTTTAACACTGAAAGTCAACACATCAGTTATGAAAAAAGGGGGTTTCATCAAGTCTTGGCTGTTTGCAGACATTTCACTGGGGGCTGAGTCACTTCCTGCATCAGTCCAAGAGTATCAGGACCACTAGGACGACAAAATATTTCATAGGTTGCCCAAACTGTGCAAATCTGGATTTTAACAGATGAACAATTCATTACCTGCTGCATTTTATCAGAGCACAAAGCAACACCTCCAGCTTACACCCAACTCTTCCCATCTTCACACACTGTTTCCAGTTCTTTAACTTTGCCAAACTCTGACCTTGCAATTGCCTGGCAATTTTTCATGGATAATTGGTTCTTCAAGTTCCAGGGAACATGGCATTAGCCTAATTCATCAGCTTTTCAAATCAATTTATTTTCAGGCCAGCAATCCTAGGAGGACAAAAATCAATACATTTTCAGGCCAGCAACCCTAGGGTCAAAACAATTGAGCGCTCAAAGTGCTGAAGCTCCATTTTTTATATTTTAATCTGGACCAAAACATTTTTGCTCTAAATATTGCAGCAGGAATAGAAAAGAGGCTTTAAATTTCCAAGATCTGACTTGTAGTGCTGTTTGATAAAACCATCCATATTTTCATTGCACTGAAAACGGATTCCACAGGAAACATCACAATGGTGGATCACAGAAAAGCCAACAGAGAAGCAGATCCTTGGCTTGTCCCTGGCTCTGGGTGTGACCAGGACAGGTAAGTGACCCAAACAAAGGTGTGGAGAGAGGTGGTGGCTCACCCAGGACTATCAACTAAGAGATGCCCAGAGAACTGCCAGGCAAGTACTGCTTTGCACTGAAAATACCCTGTTTAACCCCAGAATTTCATTAACATTTCGCATTATTTTGAAGACACAAATATTTGGGTCTGTTTGAATTTAAAGCTGGGCTTTAGGGAGAGGATTTGTGGCAAAAGCAGAGGATAGGAAAGGCCAAAATTGGGAAAGTCACGATGCTTTTGCTGAGGAATGGGATCCTCTGTTATCCAGAGCAGGAGACCAAGACTGAAGTCCCTTTTTACCAAATGCTTGAGTTCGCATCTTTCATCGCCTAAGAAAATGTACCAGTACATAAAAAATATTCTAAAACAGGTCTGGTTTGAGTCATCCTTTTTAGGTCTGACCTGCTTTGCCAGAAAGAGCAACAGGAACTGAACCACAGGCTGAAAGAAAAAAATAAATAAATCCTTCTGTTTCTGTGTCTGCATCAATAAATATAGTGGGGAATATAGTTACAGTTAAAACCTAAGAAATCCAAGTACTTATGGGCAAGTGACTTCCAGAGCTGTGGTTTGGGGGAATGCTTATTGGAGAACGGACATGGGATCACAACATGGTCACAGAAAGAGAATAAACTTGTCGTGGCTAAAGATGGACACCGCCACCAAGGCAAGGGGCAGGGAAAAAGAGAATAAGAAAGGAAAAAATCAAACTAAAACCCATTTGCAGAACAGTTTCACAGACTGAGCTGTATTCAGATTTTTTTATATTTTTCTGGAGTATTTAGAATTGATTTTTTTGGCAATCAAATTATTTTTCAAAGGAACAAACTGCCAAAAGCTGCTTCTTATAATACAGTATTCCCTGGCCACAGCAGAATGAATTGTTTGAACTCCAGATCTATAAGACAGGCATTTATAATTTGGCAATTAGAAGGGCACAGTGCAGGAATCAGCTGCCTTTGCCATTGTTTTGCTTCAGAAAAAAATGCATTATTCAAAAGAACAGCAAATGGGTTCCATAATGGGTACAGCAGATTGTGATTGATAGAAGGAGACACCATTAGGATTGAATGTTTTCTGCTCCATGATGATTATGCAGCATATTTATTTCACTGTTCTGTCTTGCACTCCTATAAATAGACTTTTCCTACCTATTCCCAGAGCTGGAATTGTTTTCAGTAACACTCAAATATTGCTCCTATTAACCAGCTGAGGAAATAAAATCTGCAAGACACAGGGATGGTTTATATCCAAAGCAACATCATTAGTTTTAAAATAGATCTCCCAGATACTTCTGTGCTGAGCTGTGAGCCCACCTCATTTTTTTATTTTCTTTTTATCTTCATTCTCATCAGCTGCACAGTTGTTTACACTGCAGCCACTGAGGCAGGGTCGGTGCATTTTGGTGTCTTTGGGGGAATATTAAATGGTTGTGACCCTCAGCACCAGCTGACTCAGTTTGGGTAGGAGAACCACACTCAACAGATACCAGCCCACAGAATACAGGAGGGCTGGATCCCTCTGGTTTTCCTCTCTCTCTGCTTTCCAAGGTGAGATTTTGGTGAACATTGGGGTCTTTCTGGCTATTTTTGTGTCAGCATCTGCTCTGACAGCCTGACGAGGTAAGTACAAAGCTTAATTAGTCCCGTAAATCTGAAGGATCCAGCCCAAAATTATGGATCTTATTGAAAGATCTATCCAGTTAAAAGAAAATTACATTAACTGAATGATCTCCGACAGCTTTGGCTGAAATTGGCCAGCAGATTCCCAATGTTACTGGAGACAGAGGTGTTGGGTGACACCTGAGGCCAGACATGAGCTGTGTTTGAGCTTCTGGAGCCAAGGCAGAATCTCCAAAGCAGAGGTTTCTATTAGAATCCTCTGTTCCCAAAAAGCAGGAATGTTTCAAGCTTCAGTTCCTGTCCCATCACTCACTACTCTGTCACACCAAGGGCTGCCAGGCAGGACATGCAGATGGGGAAGGGGATGTGAGAACAGAAGTGCTGCAAACCAAGATCAAACCTTTCCAAGGAACTGACTAAATTCTCCCTGTAACTCTTCCCATGTTGGTTTTGACTGGGCCATGTGGAAAATAACAAAATAAGCTAAGGAACTTCTTCTGACTGCCAAACCTACCAGACACTGTTGGAACATCCAGCCTTTCCAAATAAAAACCATGGAGCTCAAACAAACATTCCTCAACAACCTACATAAATCCACCAGCAGCCATCATTGTGCTGTTTGGGAAACAGAGTGACACTTGGAGAGGGCTCTGCTCCTCGTCATACACAGATTTCCAAATTTTAAAACGTTTTTGGGTATTCTTCAGTGAATATAGGCAGGAAGTTTTCCTGGAGAGAGGAGCCTGACTTACGCCACGATCCCGGAGAGGTGGAACATCTCTGCGGTGAGGTAGGACAGGTAGCTGTACAGGAACACAAAGAGGGGCTCGATGACACGGATGTCCTTGGTGAAGCGCGTGGTGAAGGCAGCAGTGAACCCAAAACTCAGCCCCACTAAAATTCCTCCCAGCCCAACCACGAAGAATTTTCCAACTCCGGCAAAAACATCCACGCTTTTGATGGTCGGCATCTCACAGAAAGAGCGAAAGAGCTTGTAGAGCACCTTGTGGGGGGAAGGAAAGAGGGAAACAGCTGTTAACTGAATGTTCACCAGATGTGCTCACGGCAGCAAATACACTGCTGGGATTTCTGCCAGGCACCTCCTGCCCAGGAGGTCTGGCTCCCACCAGGGGACTGCTGTGGCCCTCACGAACATTTCTGTCCCCAGACACGGAGTCAAAGAGAAACCTGAAAACTTTTAAGTTCACCTGAATGCCGCCCAGGACCTCGGGCCAGAGAACTGGACCAGGAGTCCTCTGCTAGAAGGGGTTGTTGATGACTTTTCCCTCAACAAATCACAGAATCATTGAGGTTGGAAAAGCCCTCCAAAATCATCAAGTCCAACCAATAACCCAGCACTGCCATGTTCACCACCAAACCATGTCCCCAAGTGCCATACCCACATGGTTTTTAAACACCTGCAAGTGTGGTGACTCCACCACTTCCCTGGACAGCCTGTGCCAATGCTTGACTGCATTTTCCATGGAGAAATTTTCCCTGATAGCCAGTCTAAGCCTCTCCTGGTGACACTTGAGACCATTTCCTCTCATCCTGCCACTTGTTCCATGGGAGAAAAGATCAACCCCCACCTGGCTACAAACTCATCTCAAGGAGCTGCAGAGGGAAATAAAATCTTCCCTGAGCCTCCTTTTCTGCAGATCTTCCATCCCCTCACTCAGCACCATCCTCTGCAGGTTAAACACCCCAGCTCAGGCTGGTCCTTACCACGGTCACGGCATCGTTGAGGAGCGATTCCCCAAAAACCAGGATGTGCAGCTTCTCGTTGACGTGGATCTCCTCGAAGACGGCCAGCACGGCCACGGGGTCCACGGCGGCGATGAGGCTGCCGAACAGGAGGTTGTGCAGCAGGGACACGTCCTGCAGCCGGAAGGCTTTCACCTGGCAGATCCCGTAGAGGGAAAAGCCGATCCCAAACACGTTCCAGATGGTGCCCACCACCGCGTAGAGCAGGATGGTGCCGATGTTCTCGAAAAAGGGGCGGCTGGGCATGAAGTAGCCGGCGTCCAGCACGATGGGGGGCAGGAGGTAGAGGAAAAAGATGTCGCTGTCCATCACTGGCGGTGACCTATCATTGAATCCATAGATGATTCCCCCCATGATGAGTCCCACAAATATCAACAAACAGCTTTCGGGAACGACGGAAGGCAGCTTGTTGTAGAGGTGGAACCCTGCAGGGCACGGAAGGATGAAACTGGGGTTACCTCACCAGCCCAAACCCTCAGAAAATCCCCACACTCCCACTGTCAGCAGGTTACACCTTGGAATAGCACAAATAAATTCACACAGTGAGGGTGACGTTTCTCAGAAATTGGTTAGAAAATCTAAAAGTTACTGAATACCAAACTTTCTCAAATTACTCTCTGTTCAGACCTTGTTCCATCATAGCATAAGGTTAGAAAGATATATTGAGGTAATAAACAAAAAGTAATAATCTGCATAAATAAAACAGTATTTGGAATTACTAATTATGTAATCTAGCAAGCAGCCCATCTTCAGCACTAACAGAAATAGCAATTTCTAATTTTAAACACAACACAGATTCTGTACATTAAAAAAAATCACAAAAACCCTTCCCATTAATTATAAACAGGTCCACTTTTAATAGTATTTAATCATTAGCATTTAAAGCTAAACAGCTAAAAAGCATCCAATCAAGCCTGTCTTGTGCAATGCCCAACATTAGAAAAACCACCACAAGTACAAGGTGAGTTATTAAAAGAAAAAGTCATAGAAACAAACCTAATTAAAATAGGAATAATAAATTTTAAAAATCTCATCATTATTATGTCTTCATGCATGTGACTAGAATTAGGGTCTCATTATGTAGCATGAAATTAGTCAGACAAAAAGACCCTTTCCATCTGAAAAATTCTGATCAAACCCAATCTTAGAGACGTCTACATTTTGAGGAAAAGAAATACAAGAAAAAAATGCTGTAAAATAACTTTTATAGCAGTAATATAACAGAATTGAAGATGATTCCTGGAGAAAAACATTTCTATATAATTTTCCCTTTCCTGTGCCCAGTTTGGCAGAGGAAAATATAAAAAGATCAGATATTTTGCATAATTTAATCTAGTTTAGATGACCTTGCACAGGCAATCAATGCACAGAGATTTTATTTTAGGCTGTGTAACAGCCTGGACATGGATGGAATTATTCCTTGGCCAGATGCAGGGTACTTTTAGAAGAGTAAGGAATCTTCATTTTAAGATGAAGATGTCAGTGGACCACCTACACAGAGCGTGGCTGGCAAGGAAATCAAGGTGAAGACACACCTTAGTGTGTCCTGCAGTTAAATCAAATTCCTCCTCCTGGAAACCCGCTATTTTTCCTCCTAACAGCAACAGTGAATTTCTAGATGGAAAACCACCACTCCCAACCTAAAATGCGACTTATTTTCCACCTGTGCAGTGTCTCTGGCACACAGTGTGGGAATTCTGAGGCGAGGGTTTGGCACCTCCAGCTCCAAACCAGAGCGGAGGTGAAGCAAAGGCCACACCACTCCACAGAGATTCCCCGTCCCTCCTCATCCTCTCGCAGCAGGCCTCACCTATTTTGGCCAAGGACGCCAGCATGATCCAGAGCGTGATTTCAAAGGGCACCTGGACGTGCTGGTAATCCAGGGAGAAGAAGGCGTGCTCCGACGAGTGGTTGCCCTGGGCGTCCTCGGCGGCCCAGCTGATGTTCTCCAGCGCCGCGTCCTCCTGCAGGGCTCCCACCCGGGGGGCTCGGAGCAGCCAGGACAGCCCGGAGCCAGCCAGGACAGCTGCAGCTCTGCACCCCTGGCTCCCCATGGCCCTGGGAGCCGCGGCTGCTCCCGCTGCGGTGGGTGAGAGGTGGGAAGCGCTGCTGGAGGCGCCAGAGCTCGCGGGGGCGGCTGCGAAGGGAGGAGCAAATGTTCCAGCTCAGGCTGGGTTCCCTCCCTGGTCCATCAGCTTCCAGCTGGGAGAGCCCATGGAGAGTGGTGCTACATGGCCAAACAGGGGCTCCTCCTGTGGATGCTTCATTGAGGAAATTCCTCAGGTCGATGGTACAACTCACATTCAATCCCAGCTCTTGATGTGTTTTGGCTCCCAGTCCCTCACAAACCACTCTTGGAGGGAAAAAAAAAATAATCTTCACTGCTGTTAGAACAGACAGACTTGACAGAACAGGTCCCATAAAAAAACTCATCCCAAAACAGCTCTGTCACACAGGGGGCTTCCCTGGATTTCTGCCGTGCCCACATGGAGAACACAACACAAACATTACTGGAAATCAGTTTCCATTTGGTGAAACAAGCAAATCACCCGGTTTGTTGGGCTAAATACAGAGCTGCAGGAATGGCAGGCACCTCTGTGAGACAAATGAGGCTCTACAATTGCTTAAAGCTTCCTATAAAAAAGATTAACAGGAAAAGTTCTCTTCAACTCTCTTGAAAACAGCATCAAAAACTGAATAGTTGAAAAATGGAAAAATGAAGGTAGTTGCAACAGTGTTTAACAGATTTTAATAAAACTGTGGAGAAAAAAAAATTATTGGGTCAAAATCCTCCATTGTGAAGCTTCATTTAGGGTGATGATGCTTCAAGAGGCACAAATTTAGCCCAAAGAACACTGGTAATTAAAATCCAGGGCCCGGGGCTGTTGCCAGACAGATCGATGGCCTCTTTGCTCCCTTCAGCTGCCTCAGTGACACCAAAACGGAGTGCCAGTGACAGGCTGGTGACCCACTTCTGAGCTGTGGGGACCCAGGACACGGATCCTGGGCCTCAGCACCACATGAGTCCCTGCTCCTCACCCCTTTGTAAAGCACAAGGATACAGTTTGGGAGGCAGGAGGGATGCAGGGACACCCTCGAGGAGTGACTTCTCTCTGCTTTAGCAGGGTCCACTTGGATTTCACAGAATCAGACAATGCTTTGGGTTGGAAGGGACCCTAAAGCTCATCTCATCCCAATCCCCCATCCTTGGGACACCCCCCACGACCCCAGGGTGCTCCAAGCTCCATCCCTTGGACACTTCCAGGGCAGCCACAGCTTCACTGGAAAACCTGTGCCAGGGCCACACCACCCTCACAGGGAGGAATTTCTTCCTAATGTCTAACAAGAAATCACTCATTACTCTGAAGAAGGCAGAACAGTGCTCTTGACAGCAATTAAGAAGTAATTAAGGAACTATTTAGCCAAAGGAAGAGCAATGGAAGCAGCTCTGAGCCTGGGCTCACATCCCAAGCCATCATATTTTCCTCTTTCCGTTGAAATATTGGGTGTTAAAGTGAAGGGTTTGAGGACTTGTTCCATTTGGCAGCATGGAAAAGGAGTTCTGCCAAGCTCCCATTCCCCTCCATCCCCAAATGATCCATTTTGTCTTTTGATATTCTCACCAAAAAAAGGCAAAAAGTTAATGCTCACCTACATTTTCCTTAAGCCAAAATCAAAATGTTTGCATCTTGGAGGGGGAAAAAGCCTTGCAGTGGGGAGTTCAACAGCTTCCTGGAAACTGGTTTTGTGTGTAGAATCTATATTTATTTAATAATGGAACCAGGAAAAAACCCAACAGAGCTGGGACAAAATTTGAGGAAGGTCAACAGGGAGGATAATTTTAAAATATGCTCCATTTTTCAAAGAAAGCTGCCTTATAAAATCATTAAGGCTGGAAAAGACCTCTAAGACTACCAGGTTCATTATATATTACCTACAAATAAGCCAAAAGCCAAAGACAAAACGTTTTTCCAAAGTTCTATGATAACAGAATTCATGCTGCTCCTCTGGTAATGGCTATTGATATTATTGATCCACTTTTTCATGTGAGCACCAATTGATCCGATGCTTATGGACAGGCTTTTATTTTTTCCCTAATGTAATGCTCTTCCCTACATTTTGCAGTCTCCAGGCTGGATTTTGATCCCCACAATTGTGCTGATGGGCACCTTGCTCCTGGTGGGACGAGGAAGACTGGGAGAAAAACAGAGTTACTGTGGAATGTGATATCAGTGACCAAACTTCAGCCTCTTGCAATAAAAACACGACATTTCTGCATGTTTTTCCCCAGGGAACACCCACCTCCTGACCGTGGGCAGCCCCACAAGCACCACGGTGGATTATCCCTGAGGGAGCTTTGCCTTTCCCTAGGGAAACCCTACATTGTTCTACGCTGACCTGTGGGACAGATATTTGGGAGCCCCCAGGAGATGTTTTAGTGTTACCACCTTTTTTTGTTTGGTTGGTTTTTTGGCCCTTTTTAGAAGTAAACTTTTTTTTTTTTTCCCAGCTTACCCTAAACCACTCATCCCACTTCCCCTTCTGGGAAGGATCCCACCCACAGCTATTGGGGCAGCAGGAATAGGAAACCCTGGAAAACCCCGAGGCACCACGTGGGGTCTGTCAGCACATCACAAGCCACGGGGACACAGAGGTAACTTGGGGCTGCAGGCAGTGGGGAGCCTCATGGGCACCCAGAGCCCAGGCAGGCTGAGGTTCCATATAAAATCAGTGATTCCAGTCCAAAATCCGGGTTTAAGGAGGATTCAAATAAAGTTACATTCAAATAAAGTCACATTACATATCAGTAAAGGAATATTGATAAGGAACAAGTTAAAAGAATATACCTCAGCAGAGGTGTGAGCACATTCTGCCTCCTTACTAATGAGGTCTGGGATATTTAATTCATGGATTTCACCTCAGGGTGGAGATCAGTTCTCATTTATTGGCTGCCCCCAGGACACCACGCCCTGGTCCCACACATGGTCAGGAGAAATCCACGCTTTCCCTGAAGTTTTTTACCTGCTGGACGCAGCCTTTTGTTTCTCTTAGTGGAATAAACATAAGCAGGTGGCTGTTTCCAAGGATGTTTTAGTTATATAAAAATATTCAATAAAACTGTCCCCAAGCCATTTGCCTGTGATCAGTGACCTGTCCTTGCTGCTTGGTGGCTGAGCTGGAGCAGAGCTGGGCAGCAAAGGGAAAGGGAGCTGTGCAAACACCAGCACCAATATCCACACACAGCATTTCACACTCTGATTTGTATAAATTTAACACGGGCAACGTGAAGGTTTTTGCTTTCTATTCCAGGAAAGAATTTTTTATAATTCAACTACCAGGAAAGAGGAACAAAATTTGGTAGTTTAAAACTTCAAGGCAAGATTTTTAAGAAATTAATTTGCAGTTCTGTTCCTTATTCCACTACGTTCATAAATCTCACTCATTTGAGACTAAGAACAAATACAGCTTAAAAAAAAAAAGTGACAGCAGGACTGGGTGCTTTCTCACTCATCTTTGTTAACTTTTGTTACCTCTCAGATTGGTAATTAATTATTGAAATATCTTTGTACAGTCAAGCTACAGAGAAAGGGAATAAATGGTTCATGGGTCTTAGAAATTTGGCAATGGAAAGCAGAAGTGTGTAATCACTACGGATGGGGACTGAGAGCAAAAAAACAGCAACACAGCAGATTAGGAAATTGTATTATTGCACAAAATGAGAAACTTTTTGAGGAGGATCAAGGATCCCTAAATAGCAAACCAGAGCCCAGGAAAGCAAAGCCCCAACACAGGAGTGAGAGGCAGGAAAACCCTTCCTGCACCAGCTTGGGGAGAGAGAGAAAAGATAAAAAAATCATGGAATAACAGACTGGTTTGGGTTGGAAGGGACCTCAAAAATCATCCAGTTCCACAGATCCCAGAGCCCACATTTCAGCTTTACCCAGCCAGAGCCACATTTAGGAAAGATGCTGTTCCTGCTTACCCTGAAGGAGGAGCAGCAGTGGTGGGACACAGAAACCCCCTGCAAGTCCCAGCTCTTCTGCTGGGGCTGGTTTAGTCCCAGCTCCTCAGGGTCATGCAGTTTTCCTTCTCCAGGGGAAGCTCCTCAGCTCCTCACTCACCAAAGAAAAGAAAAGCCCCAGGAAAAGTGGTGAGATGCCACATTGTCCCCAAGGCACTGCAGTTTAAAAGGCTGTAAAAACAGCAACAAATTTTCTCCTCCAAAAAGAGCCCCAAACAAAGATCCTGAGGAAAACACAGCCTCGATGGACACAGATCATGCAGAATGCCCAAAAAGTTTCAATAATTCAGCTCCACACACAACTCTCCCCCCACTCTGCTCCAGTATATCAAATATTCCTCCAGATTTTTCATCTTCCCAAGAGCACAGCTCACAAGTGAAGGGGAATATCCACAACCCCTACATGGAACAGGATAGAAAAGGGAAAGTCTTCAACCTTCTGGTATTCACAGCTCCACACTAAACCCTTTTATTTCCCCCCAGGAGGGAGCCAGGATGGTGGATGTGGGAGTGGAAGGTTCATTAGCACCTGGGCACTCATTTACCAAACAACCACTGACACTCACAAGTGATTTATATTCCCAACAGGTTTATGGGATTATCACAAATAAATGAACTCAAAGGAAAATCAGGCAAAGATTAAGTGGTGAGGATGTCCTGGTAAAGAAAAAGAAAATTAGGGTAATTACAATCAAATATCTGGATTTCTGAAATCTGTATTTAAAACAGGAACAAAACAGAGAGAAAAAAATCAGTTTTGCCATGCCGTGTATAAACTAGTGGAGAGCAAGAAAGAACACTCTGCTCTGCTAAAAACTAGATTTCAGCCCACTAAAAGTAGATTAATATTTTACATTTTGGGTGAAAAAATAAGCCACTCAGATTTAGTTTCATTTGTTTAACAGCTTTTTCCTGATTAAAAGAGAGATGAATGAAAAATACAAATATTTAGTGTTTGAGATTTTTCTGTCAGTCAGAATTTTTAGTTCCAAAGGGAAGGGGTTTGGCCTTGCAGGTTTTAAGTCCTTCTTGATTTTAACTGGAATAGAACATTAATTGATGGAAGTTGTTGTTCTGCACACCTGGACATCCTTTTTATTGGAAATAATCCTGCCTCCAAAAACAGACTTTGAGATTTCATTGCAAAATGGTTGTAAAGCTCTGGAAATCCTGACCTGGAAGGTACTAAAGGAAACCACCACTAGATATCACCATTTCACTATTTAATAAATCTCAGAAAAAACTGTTAATGTGTAAAAATCCTAATTATCCTCCAGGCTGATGAACTCACCTTCCAGAGGGGCTTAATTCACACAACTGAGGCAGGCTGGGGAACATCCTGACTACAGGATTAATTGGGGAAATTTAACTAAAGAGTCCAGCTTTCTACAGGGGCTGGGTCCCAGGACCTGCTAAATATTCCTCTGTGGGAACACAGAATGAGAGCTGGATACGAAGGTAAAAACTCCCTGCCAGCATTTCTCCTCCAACCTCAGATTTCCTGGCCTGTGGATAAAAATCACCTCCAGGCAGAATCTGGCCATGGATGTCTGCCCTGTAAAATATGGCACTGCTTTCCTTTGTAATGGAATCCAGCTGCTGCCCTTCAGCAGGCTGGAAAAGCACCTTTCCAGGGATTTTCCCCAAGGAATTTGAGTTCACTCAGGCATTTTTCCTCCTAGTGAAAACGGGCACAGCTCCAGTGCAGCTGATGGAGTTTTACTCAAAGCCATAATGGAACTTAGCATCTTCTAAATATAAATAAATCCAAAGCAGGTCATGGATTACAACAAGTCAATTAAAAAAAATTAGTTAAAATAGTATTTAAGTTACTAATAAATGTATTTGTCTGATCTTTTTAGAAATTAACAGATTTTGCCCCTAAAATGTATTCTGCAGCAACATCTTTCTTCCTACAGAGAGAAATTAATTTTGAGAAGTTACTTAAATTGTGGGTTAAACCAGTTTAACAAATGCTGGGGAGGGAAGAACATGGACAATATTTTTCCACGGGGAAAGCTACACAAAATACAATGTGCTTTACATTAACAATATGCATTTACCTGCACGTCCGTTTGTGCTGTAATTGGGGTGGTCTAAATTACCTATTTTCCTCAAAACACTGCCGTTATGTGGTTTTATTTTCATTCCAGCTAAAATTATCCACATATTTAATAACATTAATTTAAAAACAAGCTCTGAAACCAGTCCTAAGAAGGGATGGGATGAACACAACTTCCCAGTAACCTCAGGTTTTGCCAGACTCCCATTATTTATGTGTTTTTCTCCATTTGTGCCCCGGGGATGGATCCATCAGGGATTGTGCCACTGCAGCAGCTGCTGCTGATCCCTTGGCTTTACTCCCTGGGCTGGGGTGAGCAGCAGAGCAGAGAGGGGCTCCTCCAACGCATTCCTCAGCGCTGGGAAGGACAGAAAACCACCGGGTCTGGAGCTCGGGTTTAACCTCCGACTTCCTCATTGCCTGAGGAAGAACCTCGTGCCATTAACTTCTTTCCAGACTTTGGCTTGAACCATAAATAGATCCCAGGGGGAAGCAAGGGCTGGGGCACGGCGGCACAAATGGCACAGAGCATTTCTTGCTTGGGATAATTGCAAAGCCTTTGGCTGCTGCTGCCCTCTGGAATATTTCTCCTCTCAGCCTCAGTTAAATTGTTCTCTGCACCTCCATCAAGGAAATCTGGAGAGCTCTGCCCACCCTGCACTCCTCTGGAATTTAATGAAGTCATTTGGCCTCTTCCAAAGGACTCCTGGCCTGATTTTGAATGCTGAGAAGGAGATTAATGAGACACACATGGAATTAGGGCAATGCATAGGGAAGCAAATCATCCTTTTCCTCTCATGCTCCTAGAAAGCAAGGATAAGATTCTGTATTGCTTATACTCCTTGCGCCAAGGTCAGCCAGAATTTACATCCAGTTATGTCTTGAATGTGCATGAGTATGATTTTATTAATTTATTTCCTTATCAGGGATTATCTTTCCCTGTCATTTTAATAAAGAGAGAGAAGTCTTTTCATTGCCCGCTCAGATCATTTTTCCCTCAGGAGCAGCTCCTCCTCTGTCCTGCTGATATCTTCTTAGAGGTCACAGATGATTTTAAGAAATGCCCAAGAAATAAAGATTAAAACAAACAAACAAAAAAACCCCAACCACAAGCAAAAACACCAACAAAAAACTTTATTAGAAAAAAAACTTCTGCAGAGCAGGTAACAGTCCAATTCATCTATCATTTCACAGTGGTGACATAATGAATAATTTCCAGCTGAAATATTTGCTGAGAAGCAAGAGCAAAGGGAGAAAATGTGTTTGAGTGCTAAACAGCAGTATTTCCATATGAAAATCTGCATTTAAATTTCCAAATGAAGATGCAGGAATCTTGCACTTTTTTTCAGGAATGCTGCAGTCATCTTTGCTTGCTACTTTTGCAGAAAATTAATGCTTTTATGTGTGGATGTGGCACCTGAGGACATGATTTAGTGGTGCTGGGTTGATGGCTGGACTTGATCTTAGTGGTCATTTCCAACTTCAACAGTTCTATGATTCTATATGTGTTATAGAGACATGATTAACCAGTATTTTGGAGAGAAATTAATTTAAAATTCTCCATTAGAAAACAGAAAACAGTGACCTTTACTTGCCCTGCTACCAAAGGGGTTTAAGACTTAAAATATTAATCAGAACAAGTGTAGTGTACAAATGTTTCCATTTCCCAACCTAATCCTTGGAGTGAACCATTCATACCTGAATCCCACCCCTCTCCTGAGCTGAGCAGCTCAGTCAGGATGTGAATTCCCTCCTGCAGCTCCATTTTGCAACCCCTGTGTTGGAGATTTGGAGGTTTGGGGTGCTGAACTCGGAGCTGTTCCTGTTGGGAGCATTGCGGGAGCTGAACAAAGCCAGCGAGTGCAGGAGGGCTCCTCTGGCTTTGGAGGTTTCTATGTTCTGCTCCTGGGAGATCTGAACACTTATCTGGTCCAGGCTGTTCCTTATCCAGCTGCAGGTCAGGAGGTTTGTTATGGAACCACACCTGGCCAGGCTTTCTTCAAAAAACTGTTTGTAGAGCTCTGCCACTTTGGCTTCCATGTACTTGTTGAGCGTGGAGCTGGACAGGGGCTCCTCACTGAGCAGGAGGCTCCTTTCTCCAGCTTCATCTCCAGGCAGGGACATCCCACTGGGCTTTTTGGGATGCTCACAGAGAGGGGACTGACCCAGGGGAATGTCTATGGAGAGCAGGACGGGGCCGTCGGGGAGCTCATCACACACGTGGTCCAGCACACAGCCCGAGTCACACGTGTGGCCCCCCACACGGTCCCCCCCGATCTGCAGGTCAGGGTAGTTCTGGTAAATGCTGTTGCATGGCCAGGATCTGTACAAATCCACTTCATCTGGGCTCCCTCCTCTCTTGGGGATATGTACAGCTGGGGATGCAGTTCCTTTAAGCAGCATTTCCTGATCCTTCCCAGGCTCCTTTTCTGTGCATCCCCATCCAGGGCTGCTCCCGGCTTCCACTTTGCTGCTTCTGGCAGAGAGCTCCTCCCGCTTCTCACATCCCTCAGCAAAGCCTTTAATTTTTGGGATGTCTACAAGTTTCTGTCTCCAGAGTCCCTCTTTAGCCTTTTGGGATGCAGGAGATTTGCGAGGCTTATCTTGATGACAGCTTTCTCTATAGATGAGCCTCATTAGGATGCCTTCTGCCAGCATGGTGACAAGTGTGAGCAGCAGGGATCACCAGAGTTCCATGGAGCCCTGGGACAGAGACACAGGCACAATACAACAGCAACTATTATTCAACAACTATTCCAGAATAATTATATTATTATTACTGTTATTATTGTTGTTATTACTAATGAACAGTGCATGTCTCACAAAGACAGTGATGTTTCTTTCCCTCTCAAACATTTATTTTTAGCAAACATTAAACTGCATGCTTTTCCTCTTTACCATGTCCACAAAAATCATTCTGAAGATACAGGAAGGGCTTCAATCAGCTGCTTCATCTGTAACATCCCTTCTGCTCCCAGGTCTCTTCCTCATCGTGGCTACTTGAGGCAGATTGTGCTTTATAAGCTGTAAAAATCCGCAAAATCATTTTACTTGTCTGTATCAATACCATCAGTAATTAATCAATGTTTTCCATTACAAGACAACCATTTCCAAGAGCTAAAGAGGTGACATAGAAAGGAAATAAAGAATATATTCATATTTAGAGGCATTTCTGACTTGAGCACTCCCATGAGCTGCCAAGGAGCTTCAAAAGGAACTGAGAGTTCTGCACATAGAATAAAACTGTATTCAAAATGCAGATCAAATGTGTTTAGATGAACTTAATGATGAACTTAATGATGAACTTAAAAGGTCCCTCTTAATGATGAACTTAAAAGATAGAAATAATTTGCCTTCCCCAATAGGAAT